GAGTAGGTGGTAAGCCTCTATCTGTTAGTCGATTGATATAGGCGATTAGGGCCTGCTCCTGCTGTGGGTGGAGGAGCTGCCGTTTTTTGGCCACCTATCGCGCGTGACGGCGTGTAGGCCTTGGTGTCTTCGGGTAAGCGTAGATCGAACAACACCATATTTTTTTGCAATATCTGTATACGAAAAAGGCTCATCAGGTCCTAGGGCATTAATAGCTGCAAGCGCAGCCTCAATATTAGCCATGGTGGTGGGGATACGACGCGTTGAGGTTGAGGTGGTTGTAAGGCGCGCGCGCACTTTGTGGTCGCGCGCACTTTGTGGTGGGGCTAGTTAGGCGTAGGTAAGCCTTTCTCGCGCTAAGAAAATGATTTGAGCATCGCCGTCTTCACCTGCAACATCGCCATCCGGGCCAATTGCCTTGCCTTTGCCTCCTCTGCGTCTTGTGATTGCTCAGCCATGTCGAGCTTCTCCAAGGTCTTCCTGCGCACGTCGCGCGCGGCCTTCCAGTACCAGCGTGGCGCCTCGCCGGTGCAGAATGCTCTGGGTGCGCAGGGCACCAGCAGGTGGATGAACGGCGTCCGCAACTATGCTGCCTTTACACGAGACAAGCCGCACGTCAACATTGGTACGAGCAGCGGCACTGCTGTTGTAGGGCATTGCTGACCCCGCCCAGGCACCATTGGCCACGTCGACCACGGAAAGGCAAGGCGCATCCCGCCACTGTCCTAGACATGACCACGCACTAACACGCTCGGCAGACGACCCTCACAGCCGCCATCACCAAGCGACAAGCCGAAAAGGGCTATGCCAAGTACCTCGACTACGGCTCCATTGACAAGGCCCCCGAAGAGCGCAAGCGTGGTATCACCATTTCGACAGCCCACATTGAGTACCAGACGGACAACCGCCACTATGCCCACGTCGACTGCCCTGGCCACGCCGATTACATCAAGAACATGATCACGGGTGCGGCCAACATGGATGGCGCCATCATTGTCGTCGCTGCGTCAGACGGCCAAATGCCCCAGACCCGTGAGCACTTGCTGCTGGCCCGCCAGGTCGGTGTCCAGAAGATTGTCGTCTTCGTCAACAAGGTCGACGCAGTCGAGGACAAGGAGATGTTGGAGCTTGTCGAGATGGAGATGCGCGAGCTGCTTAGCAGCTATGGCTTTGAGGGCGATGAAACCCCCATTGTCATGGGCTCTGCTCTGTGCGCCATCGAGGGCCGTCAGCCGGAAATTGGTGTCGAACGTATTGACGAGCTGCTCGAGGCCGTCGACACATGGATCCCGACGCCCCAGCGCGATACGGACAAGCCGTTCCTGATGGCCGTCGAGGACGTCTTCTCCATTGCTGGCCGTGGTACCGTTGTCTCGGGCCGTGTCGAAAGAGGTATCTTGAAGCGCGACGCCGAAGTCGAGCTAGTGGGCAAGGGCACCGCGCCCATCAAGACAAAGGTCACGGACATTGAGACGTTCAAGAAGTCGTGCGAAGAGTCCCGCGCCGGTGACAACTCTGGTCTCCTCCTCCGTGGTGTCAAGCGAGACGACGTGCGCCGCGGCATGGTGGTTTCAGTGCCTGGACAAGTCAAGGCACACAAGAAGTTCCTCGTGTCCATGTATGTACTGAGCAAGGAGGAAGGCGGCCGCCACACGGGCTTCGGCGAGAACTACAGGCCGCAAATGTTCATCCGCACTGCTGATGAGTCGTGTGCGCTGCACTGGCCAGAAGGCACTCCAGATGCCCACGACAAGCTCGTCATGCCTGGCGACAACGTTGAGATGGTTTGTGAGCTTCACGTGCCACACGTTTTGGAGCCTGGCCAGCGCTTCAACATGCGTGAGGGTGGCCGCACTGTCGCCACGGGCTTGGTGACGCGTGTTTTGGAGTAGATTACAGTAGGCTGGCCCGCTAGGGCCCCGGAGCATGATGTGAGCATACGCCGACGAGAGGCCAAGGGAGGGCTATCTGTATAGTAGCATGTGTGTCGGACATATCTCTGCTCTCCACTTCTCATTTGACCTTCATCATATACTTTAGCAGCACGCGCAAAACGGATCTAGATGGGGGGGGGCGTTGAGCTGCACGGCGAGGTTGGAAGAATATAATGAATGGCCTTTACCACAGCAGCCGGTGGCGTAAGGCAAGGCAAGGAACACGTGAACAGCGGCATTGATGCTTGGAAAATCAAGTGCTATGATGCTAGCCGCTTGACAGCTTGGCGGCAGAATGCCGCTGGGCGAAACTCGGTGGGTCTAGACTGTGGGACGATCGTCTCACAAAACCCCAACCCAATCCAGCCCAGCCTAGAGCTGCTGCCGCCATTTTCCGCAGACGACTGCACCAGACGGCGATGCCACGACTACCACGACGCAGCCACCCTGGAGAGCACCGCCACCCCAGCCCGGCAACATCGCAGAGTGCCGATTGGATGGACCGGACAGTTATCTCCACCCGCCCTGGTCGGCCACGCCGGTGCGGAGTACAACCCGCTGCACTCTTGTCTCAAGCTTTATTCGACTAACATTACACCACCAGGTACAGGCCACGATGACAGCCCTAGGGCACCATGGCAGCACAGCGTGTCCACATCCTCCTTCTCCCAAGTCGACGACCAGAAATCTAAGTCGCCGTCGACTTTGATACAGAGATTCCGGGTCGGCGACGATGCGCAGTCCCTCTTGGAATTCCTCGACCATGCTGCATGACGCTGTCACACCAGGAAATGCTTGCTCAGGCCATCTCGGCCCACCCATCTGGAATGGACCCCTCGAATATCTGGCCTTGCAGGCCCCGTGCGGCTCAGGCCAAGGCATTGGCACCCGGAGATTGGTACATTGGTCGACACGTGCACAGTGTGAGGACATTATCCGACGAAGTAAACCTTGCGAAGATGCAGAAGGATTGCCACGACGTTCATGTGGCGCTGCACAGGCATTGCCATGGGAATCGGCATTGTACAATGGCCCACTTCGTGTGGGAGCGGGATTTTCCACCGGCGACTAACCTCACCGATTAGCGCTACAGTACTACTCTACTAGTAAAACCAGCGCGGAGACACTCGCACGTAGGCTACGAACCACGCGGGATCTGCGGATAAGCAGCCATCACTGTCAGCTGTCGTGGTCAAGGTCAGAGACATGCAGCAACAGCCAAGCAACAAATATCGGGGTGTGGAGAGCATCCGGCCGCAACCGCCCGCCTTCCTACTATCACCCAATGACCTATACTTTTTGGTCAGTATATCTCGGAATCGGGAAAGCAGGGGTGCCTCAGCAACAAGTCTTAGGTCATCAAAAGAGATCTGGAGCTTTCTACTCTACACATCCAGCAGCCCCCGCGACGTCCAATTAGCCGTCTCTCCGCGTTACTGGCGCTTCTTGTGTCTAGACCGCTGATGTTGGTGCATGTACAGCCGGAGGTGGAACCGTCTCGCTGGCCATCATACAACTCATGTCTCCCTCGGTTTCAACCTGAAGAAGCTAAGTAACAAAGGGTAACCCCTGTGGATGGTGTCGGTGTGGCACTTCCCGCCACGATTTCCCACTGTCTGCCTACCCATGCTTTGATGTGCACTAGATGCGCTAATAAGCGTACTTACAGTTATCCCCGAAGATGCTTTATTCCAGAAGCCGTCCACCAGTCCGTCTCTCAACGTTGAGCGCAGGTGTGTTTCTATATACACGCACATACACACCATATACCTATCGGCCAGTGGTTCTGGCGCCTGATCTGAGGCCTGTTGCAACGGTGCTGCAGAAGAAGACCATGTTGCTATTTCGGTGTCCAAAGAGCCACCCACCCCGACTTTAGACCCTAGCGTCGATGGCGTTCTCATCAGCACGTACAGCAAGGCTAACCGCGTTGCCCTATCCTCGTGTTACTCAACTGTCGCCTCGCTACCATCGGTGCATGGGGAACACTGTTCTCGATCGACTTTGGTATTCCAGGAAGAGCGGCAAGGTCGGATTTCGGGTCGAGGTCCCTAATGACGAATGCACATTGCGCGTAATCTTTCATAAGTGTGAGGCTTGTTTTAATATAATGCTAGAAGACACAACAAAATGGGTTTAGAAGAAAGCCCATTACTCGGGGACATGCCCCGTGGGTAGTGCTTACGGCGGAGGCTTTTGCTTATATAATCTAACCTATTCCAGGTATCCGCCTAGCCTGATGAGCGTGGAACTACCTAGGTCGTGTCTTGGGGCTGACAGCCCCCTGCCGGCTCGGTCGACGACAAGTGCAGGCATTCAGTTGCAGCTGTACGCTCCCGAGAAGGCGGGCGAAACCACCAGGTAGGACACAGGTCATCAGGGTCACCTGAATTCGTAAAACTACTCTGCTGCATTACAGCACTCATGAGCACTGGCGCCCTGTGCTTCGGCCTTCGCTCCGTGTTTGCTAAGTACGTCTGTACCTACATGTCCGTCTTGCTCACCATCCCTGCTTTAAGGTCCGATAAGTAGCCTATATCACTGCCATCGCTACACTACCTGTTGTTTGACCCGTTTTGAAATCAGTTCACATGGAAGGCGCCTCGCTCATCGCTTGCACTCGTTGCGCTGTCTCAAAGGCACGATGCGACAGAAAGGTCAGTCACGTGACATCCGACTCCAGCACCCAAAGAATCAGACTGCAGGACCATCACAACGATACAGCTTCTAACATAGCCTCTAGGTACCGTGCTCTCAATGTGTCGCAAAAAACTACGTGTGCGAACCAAGGTGCACATCGCGCCGGCCACGGGCTCCTCGAAAGCGAGCCAAGGTCTCGACCACAACACCAGCGCACAATACCCGTCTGGAAACTAGCCACAGCGCACAAATGGATCAGTTCTGTGGCTATATCATTCCTGATAGTCAGCCACATCATAGCGAGATTCTCGCTCTTACGCATTCGGCCTTACATCCGGGGCCACTGGAGTTTTCAGGCTACGAAGACTTCATGGGCTTTTCGTACGCCGCGTCTTCAGGGAGCGATCCTATGGACGACAATGCATCGGGCAATCTCTACACACACATTCCAAGTTTAGAAATGCAGGCAATAGAACCCAGCTTCTCTCCGCACATGGTCGGTAATGGTGGGCTATACAAGCAGCATCAACAGAGATTCTTGCACGGGCCTAGTCAACCCCCAACACCACCTTTCACAAGCCCCCAGGCTATGCAAAGCCTACCAATGAGCCCACTGGACGGAACCATCACTTCAAAACCCAACAAACCAACGCGGGACGTACGCGTGAGCAGCCCGGAGGCGTCAAGGGATGTACTGAGTGAAATGCTGGATCTTCTTGCTCAGCCAGATGCCTGGACAGGACTGCCCATCAACAAAAACGACGCCATCACAGTCTTGTCCCAAGATTACCGAGACCGAATAGTTGCGGCTGTTCAGATTCTGCTCTACCGGGCACTGCAGACTGGCTGCTCACCATCATCGTCGGACCAAGGCTTATTTGGACGCATTGTATCCCTACCCCCTTCTCATGTGCTGTCGCACTTTTTCGACCTTTATGCAAAACGCATTGAATCCATTCAACCCTTTCTTGGACTTGCCGGCTCCCCTACTGCCAGCATTCAAGACATCCTTCAAGTCGACGCGGCGGACGTTGGCATGCTGCTGGTTGTCCTCATGATCACACAAGGCGCCATGCTTACAGATCACCACGAGTCTCACGTATTCGCTCATGGCCTCATAGAAGTTTGCAGGGTGGCCTTGAACCACGTTCTCGAGCGCCGAAGCATATCGGACCCGATGGTTGGGGGGATTGCACTACAACTACTGACCCTTTGCGCGCGAAGCGGTAAAGACTCTTTGAACTCGGTAGCTAAGCACCTGTACGATTACCTAGGACGACGCTGATGCTCTATTTAGTTTGCCATGTCGAAAAGAGGACAGTACATGAGTGTAAGAGAAGACTGCCTGAGATCAGCAGGATTGCGCTAATAACCTTTTAGATGCTGAAAGAGACTGGCATCCTGCAGCCCGACCAAGGATACTACTATGAACGCACCGCAGACGCAGGGAACCCGTGGGAGAAATGGAAAGAGTTTGAGCAACGAAATCGGTACGGAGCACACTGTATACAATGACGGAACATGATCTGACTGCTGCAGCCACGCATACGCATGGGTCTATGTCGACCTCGAAACAAGCTTGCTTCACGATGTTCCACCAGTCCTTTCAATCGGCGATTTACAAGTACCACTACCTCGAGACAATGCCCTCTGGCACGCACAATCATACAATGCCTGGGTCGGGCACCACAGCGCAAACGAGATTCAACTAGGACATGAAATGCCGTCTCTCAATGGCTTGTTCCGTAGTTTTCTACATGGCCAGCTTATAGTAGACGATGACACACCTCTACACCATCTGCGGCTTCTTCTCCATCCATTGCAGGCCATGGTCTTGGAGCAGAAACAACTCCTCCGCATCTTCGACACGGATGAGCCGTCCAACATGAACCGCACTCCTTCCAGGATCAACGTCCTCGGCCGTTTACAGGAGACACAGGATCTGGTGCAGGACTTTGCTGTGCTCCTCAACCGGCAACTACATGTCGCCTCGGATGATGAGAGTAAGAGTCAGACCAGGGTGACAGACTGTCTCAGCATCATCATCATGCTTCATCTGGTTAGCTTGAACGTGTTCACAAGCATCCCCGACATTGAGAGATGCGCCAAAGAGGAACCACCAGTCTCGCTAACAGCACGTGCGGACATGTGGCGGAGAGTCCGCTATTCCGAAGGCACAAGCTACGTCTTGTTCCATGCCGGCCAGATCTTCAGACTGATTGAGAGCCTACCGATTGATCGGCGACCCACATGGTGGCCAATGGCCATCTACCGTGCGTCCATGGCTTGCTGGTCGCTCAGGAACATCGACCAGCAAAGTCCAAGTCACCAGGCGTGTGGAGTCAGCATTGATATGCTCCTGCCAAGTGACGAGCAATTCCTCAACAGGAGTACGGGTACTCCTGTCGTCACACTCTCTGACGGGAGACACCTACCGGTTCTAGAACAGGGCAACAGCTTACTGTATTGCATGAACAAACTGGAGAGTCATCCTACTCATCTTGTCCATTCTGTACTTGACAAGGTGCGGTATTTCTTAGACAAATGGGCCTGGTAAAGCCTCCCCTTCGGTGGCTTGGCATTGTAATTTTATTTACTTCTACTTCTCACAGTTGAGGGGCAAAAGCCACTCGCCTCGCCTCGCCGCCCCCGAAACAATGAGCCTTGATCGGGAGCATTACCGATCAAACATTATTAAAAGAAAAGGCCAGGGGGGGAGGGTAAGAGGGGGGTGTCGTGGAATGGGGACCAAGCGGAAAGAAACCGGTTCCTGGACCTTAATTGTATCAATATTTAAAGTTTCAACTGAACTATATTTTCTGCCTAAACAGGTATGTATCGCATTTTTTCTTCTTCCTTTTACCCCGCCCCTAATTTACCCAAGAGCCAAGTTTCGAATCAGACAAAGACGAGCCTTATTCTTCCAAGATATCCGAGAGACAGCTTGTTTCAGACACACATAAACCCTCCCTCTCTCTGACGGCTTCGCAATTACCCTTCTTTTCGCTGACGACATACGGTGACAGCTCCGAAAACATAGGGTCGTCATCAGTAATTGTAATGGTAATAGTAGTAGTCTCTCTCACTCCCACGCGCAAGTGTTGGGCAGCGTCGCAGCAAGGACCAACACCCCGGGCTCTCTCCCAACCTCAAGCGTGTCTTGAACAGTGACACACTCACACACCCATGTCCCTGACATGACAAGCTTCGCCCTTTGCACAGACAAGCTCTCCGCAATCACAAAATTCATGGACAACGGGGGGTTTATTTTGTATGTTACTTTTGCACGGTCTCCCCCTCTTCGATCCAAGAACCCAGTTACCATGGGCGTGTAGCGTGAGTACTTACTCGCAAGCTTACTTGGCCCGAAAAAAACGACTAAGTAAGTATGCCTAACGCCCAACGGTCCGCCATATCCGCGCCCTGCTCTCGTCATCGGGGTATATCTTCCTCCGAAAATCCTCGGGCACTCGTTCGTGTGCGGAGACGCCGTCTAATTGTGGGTCTTTTTTCCTACTGGTCAATTTATGGTAAGGCTTGTAACTATGTATGTATGTATACGGGTTACGGCCATGTTGGCTCGCCGTGCTTCTTCTTCTGGTCGCCGACCTAGGTTACACATTGGAACATGCATGCATGCAAGCAAGCTGAGCTGAGCTAAGCCGAGTTAAATGAGTGGCTGAAGAACAAGGGTTAGGTACATAGCAGAAGGGAGAGAAGGGGGGTGTGGAGACCAGCGTCCTTTCGGGGGGGGGGGTTAAGGCAGAGAAGCTAGACGCACAAACGCAGCACTTTGTCCGGGGTGCGGTTGCGGCGCCGCAACCGCTTATGCCATCAGCATCAGGGGTGGCAAAGGGGGGGAATCCCCGGACGCAGCGGACGCCCAAGAGCGAATCCGAGCTGTAAGGACGGGATGTGGAGGTGAGACAGGGCGAGAAGCCCGGGAAACGGGGATCATCCCAGGGCAGTGGGGGCGTTGCTGGGTCGAGTGTTCCACGCGAGCGGGCACGTGGTTTTTGCGAGGGGAAAGGTGTGAAGGCGCTTCTGCGGCGGGACATGTCTATGTATCTACGTATGTGTACGTATTTGTATGTGTTGGGAACGTTAGGATCGCAAGGGGAAGTGTGAAAGTTTGCGCAAAAGCACCCAACAAACCTATCCCCCCCCCCCAAAAAAAGAAGAAGAAGCGTGTGTTTTTACCCTGTGAATATGAGTGATTGCGGCGTTTCTGCTTGTACCCTATTCTTTGCTTGCTTGCTTGCATAGCTGTGTTATTACGCGTTTCCCCGTGTGCAGTGTGCCTGTACCTGTGGCTGGTGCGAGTGAGCGAGCGAGAGCGAACTAGAGTGAGCTCAAGTAGAGTGAGCTGGGGGTTCATCTAGTCTAGTCTCATCTAATCCCATGCTTTAAGTAAAAGCTATGTCTCGAAAGAGAGAGAGAGAGAGAGAGAGAGAGGCACAGCCCAAAAGATAAAGAAAAAGAAAAACAGTGAATCGGGGTGTGGATACCTACCTAACCTACCTGACTTACTTTACTTTAACTTCACTGGGGCTAGTAGTAGCTCTCTCCTAGGGATAGGGATGCTGGGGTACCCGGGGACTCTCGCACTCCTGTTGGTGGATATATATCTACATGTGGGACCGGCTGTCTGTTTCTGTGTCTGTGTGTATGGATTTATATATATATATTTAGAAATAACTGTTAGATTACACGCAGGTTTAAAGGCCCGTATGTAGGCTGAAAAAAAAACAGAGTGGGGTATGCATGGATGTTGGTGGTAAAGAGAGATGTAGATTCAGCATGAGGTGGGTCAGCTGGGGTGCAGTCTAGATTTTTTAGCCGTTTCACGGACTCTCTGGTGTGAGTGAGTGAGTGAGTGAGTGAGTCAGTGAGTAGGTGAGTGAGTCAGTGACTGAGTGGGTAAGTGAGAGGGAGGGGAGATGAGGCAGTGCTTTGTTTGGAAAGGAAGAAGAAAAAATAGGTGATGGCGAGTATGTGCTAAGAAGTTTCAGTACAAGTATTTCTTTTACCAAGCAAGCAATCTTTGTGGGTTGTGGTTGTTGTGGTTGTTGTCTTTGCATACTTACTCGCGGTGTTTTTTTTTTAAAAAAAAAAAGCACCAACAACACCACCACCACCACCACCACAAAATAATTGGAATTCTCAATCCCCAATTCGCATTCCCAGTCTTTTTTTGTTGTCCTCGCAATCCCAACCCCCCTGCATTCTAATTGTCGGGAGAAAAAAAAAACACAACTCCGTCTACACAACACAGTCCGTCTACGGAACTCCGTTGCCCTACTTAGCGTGCTTTTTATATTGATTCTCCGATTCTTGGAGGAAATTTTTTTTCCTGCTTACTTAGTCATGTTAGCGTATGTCTGTGTGTGTGTGTGTAATTACAAACACGAGTTTTACTAAAAAAAAAAAGATAAGCAAAAGAAGATAGAGATAGCTAAATGGAGCTGTGACAGCTAAGCTTGAAAAGGAATAGGATTTACAGAAAGGGAAAATGCTGGGTACTTACTAGTGCTGCTGCTGTGTTATACGAGAAGCTGGGGTTGGGGGGCAGGGGCTTTAGGTTGGTTCGTGTGGAATCACGTGAGAGAGTGAGAGAGTGAGTGTGTGTGTGTGAGAGAGAGAGAGAGAGAGCATGTGTGTTACTTACTTTTACAACGACCAAGTACAACAACAGTAGCAGCAGCAGCAGCAGTAATAGTATTACTAGTCACTAGTATACGAATTTGCCAAGCATCTAATGTTAAAAAGAAAGTGATTTGATTGTGTCGTTGGTGATATACGTGCCTGTTGTTGTTGTTGTTGTTATTTGTTTCTTGTCGACTGGATTGATTCAGAACTACATAAAATGTGCACATTTTTCTTCCTCGTGCATATTCCGTATCTATATATATCCATATTTCTAGAACGGCCGTTGTAGCTATTAGGTCTGGTCTAGTCTTGATCTACTATGTACATGTTTGATATTTAGATTAGGTTTCTTGCATTAAAAAGGACTTGAGGGAAACCATGATATTCAGGGTTACTAGTCGCCGCATCTACGCAAGTGCCGTGGAGTTCGAACTGAGGTTTGATTTAGCGTTTTATTTTTTTTTCTCTTCTTTCTCTTTCTCTTTCTCTTTCTCTTTCTCTTTCTCTCTCGCTCGATTGGGAGTTGGGTTTAGGGTTTAAATAGTCTTGTCAAAGAGAGAGAGAGAGAGAGAGAGAGAGAGAGAGAGAAAAGAAGAGCCAAGTCTCTAACCTCTTCAGCTAGAAATGATATATATACTCTAACGTTTCGTAATTGGAAGGTTTGATATATCAACTACAATTGATCTAAATGGTAATATTAACATCAACTCTAACTCTAAACGAGCCCACTCCAGGCATTCCACTGTCCAAGTGCACCCCAATCCATACCGGCATCGGCAGCATTCCCATTTGTACCTGGGCCAATTTTCATGCCAGGAAAATCCATACCTTGGAAGCCATCCAAGCCAGCCCCGGAAAAGAAATCAAGGCCAAGGTCCAAACCCAATTGGTCACTAGCAGGCGTATATTCCTCTACTGTCTTGGGGTCCAGGACAGTGTCAATGATCTTGGTAAAGACTTTACTCGCTTTGCGACACAAGTTGTAGTTGGCTTCGCCATGGCCTGCGCCCGAGTTTTCCAAGTATGCGGCAGCGTCGAGGTGCGAGATGAGGACGCTGAGCATACGGATGATTTCGGATCGAGAAACTTCGGCTGGAAACTGCTGACCTGTTTGATGTTGTTCGCGAAGCGCGGCGGCCAGGACTGATGCAGCTGGGATGCCAAAGAGCAGCACGCAATGCAGCATGTCACGATGAACATCATACGATCGATCCCGTATCGTGCCCATAGTGAGCGTATTGGACAGTAGGTCAATCGAAACGCGCAGCAATGCCGTATTCAGTGTCAGAGGGCTGTAGTCGAGTAGCTTCTGGATCATGAATTCATTGTACCAGTGGGTGAGGTGGACGATGCATAGCATCAGGCAAACCTTTGTCGGTATGTCTTCCTCCCAACATGTCTTCCGATAGCGCATATGTTTTGGTAGCATATCCCAAGTTGTGCCTATGCGCTGCGATATGTCCCTGCAACTGTTAGTGTGCGCAGCAGAGTATTGGCAGGAGTGCGTACAGGAGCTGAGCCTCTGCATTTGCATCAATTTTGATAAAGGAAAATTCGAGTATTTCCTCGCGAAATTCAAGCGACTTTTGACGCAGACGCTAGGGAATGTTAGCTTGTCCAGCTGCTCGAAGAAGCTGGAGTTGCCTACGATCCATGATGCCCGAAGCCACCTGCCTTTGGTGTTCCAGCCATCAGCGTCTAATGCTTGTATTGCAGCGTTTAGCGTTTCCTCGTCGCCCGTTACCTCATCGTCGGCGAGGTCAAGTGGCAGCTGGACATCAGTATATCTCTTACTTATCCGTATCGGGCGGCCAAGAAACGTGGAAATGGATTTGTCTTGGTTGTAAGTCGCACAAAATAGTCTACGACGGGTTTCTGCCAGCCAGGTTGGCGCATGAGCGCACTTTTTGTCTTGATGAATACCAAGCGCGTACACCTGTGTTGCTAACTCTCCAATGCGTCTCCAAGCGGGCGGTCCTGTAGTCTTTATCAGTACAGCCTCACGAAAGCTTGAGTATAGATACTTGCCCGCATATCCACACATCATGATTGTAAACACATAGTTTTCGTAAAACATCCACACGGTGATATCATTAACCGTAGCAAGCATTGTTGTGAGGAACAGACAGGTTGTGCTTGCGCGAAGCAACTCGTCGGTAAAGCGCAACTTGACGTCTTTGTTGTTCAGGTCGTTGAACCTTTCTGAACCAAAGCCAAACGTTAGCGCGCGACCGGCGGTGGCAAGCAAGAAGCCAATCATTTCGAGGCGCAGATTCTCTCCCGAGCACAGTATATGAAAATCACGAGCCTCGAGGGACTGAGATATGGTAAAAGGGCGGGCAGTCGTCTCGAGAACCTGGGCTATCAGCTGTGGGCTTGGTGCCTTGCGTCGGAGGTCGTGTTTATCGACGAGGGCCTCTATGGCGTTGACGGCGTCAACGGCGATGCATGCTGGTATGACACCAGCCTGATTACGTGCACTGTACCAAAGCACCAGATCTTTGATGGTGTTGTAGTGGCGGAAGGTGCTCAAGACATCAAGCACCATCTGATATCTCATTGGTTTAGGCAATGTGTGCTGATGGGTAAGCTCTCGGTCGGACCTCTCTGACGCGACGGATTCTTCACGTTCGCGCTGTTGATCTGGCTCTCCATCCTGAGCCAGCAGCACGGCATACGAGCCGGGGCCGAGAAATCCTGGGTGATAGACATCGGCGGCAACGGCATCGGTCAGTTTCTCTCCGAGGGATGAAGGTGGCAAAAAGACTTCGGCAGAGTCTTGGTTTTCTTTTGATGTCCGTCTGTGCATGTTATCAATTGGCTTGCTTGGATGGACTGCAATTGCTGCATACTTTCGCTTTGGCGGACGCGATGCGCCTGGTCCTGACTCATCGGGACTAGGGCGAGGCCTTGTAAGAGGAGCTGGATGGTAGAAGCAGCGGTCCTCGATTCCACGCTGGCGGCATCGATGGCATTTAGGATGGCTGTGGTCACATTTTGTCTTGTTTAGCCTGCACGGCTCACACGATGCTGGTTTTCCATTGCGCCTGCTGTTGGCCTGCCTGGCAGTTTGTTAGTGAGGGATGAGGTTAGATGTTGGCGTGTCGTGGTACATGTTGAATAGTGAGTCTAGTGATGTACATGCAGCGGGGCTGTAAATAGTTTCGCAAACATGGCCGTATGCACCAGAGTCAGCTGTTTAGGCATCGTCCTGTGTGGGTGGCGTGGTGTTGAGCAAGTGACGCGGGTGGCCTTGAAGATGGCGTATCGATGCTTACCTACTTACTTACTTACCTAGGCGAGGGCCTGGGCCTCGGTCTTGGCCAGCACCACCCTCTACATCAGTTGGGCGCGGCATGAGGCAAGTGTATGAAATTGTGGGCCATGTGATGAACAAGAATTGCATTCTCCTATGGTCTGTGAACTACTCTTGGTGTCTATGTAAATGTGGACTAATCATGATCCTTGGGTTATGCATGCACCGTTCTAGCATTGGTAGACGATGCTAGAGTTTTGGACACGTGCATCCGGGGTTGCTCCAAGCCGCTTCATGGAAAGTTGTTAGCAAGTAGTGCTCTATTGCTGTCCATGCCTAGTTTAAGTAAAATAAAAGGCTGGCTCTGAACACAATATTTTACCCGTCACCAAGCGAATCTCTTGCTTGATCCGTTCGTATGGCATAAAAGTCACATCCAAGCATAGAGGGCAAAAAGCACCTGGGTTAACGAGCAAGTTGTGGCCAGGGCCATGATTTCACCCTATCTGTGACTGCACACCGGGAGAAGAGGGAACATGTTAGGCTCGTCGTTTTGAGGACGAGACGAAACGTTGGCTTGCCAAGCTCCCGTCTTGTGGGTGCAGCGGCCTAGCCCGAAGGCCGGCGCCAACGTCACCGGAAGCTATTTTTTGCTTTTTGCTGGACAATGCCGCGTTGACCGGGTCCATGTCGTCAGGAACCACTGTTAGCAAAGCAACGCGTGCTGAAGATGGACGGTAGCCTGACGTCGTGCTGCAGCCCTATACAGGTAGTCTTCTCGAACAAGCACAAGGCCATATCGGCTTGCCATGGTTCGTCGGTGCCAGCCATGCTCAGGGTCTGCTCGACGAAGACATGGGCTTGCCAGCAGCTATACCGGGTGATCGCCTTTGCTCGGAATGTGTCTGATAAAGTCCTGTTCGGCCGACCCGCGTCATCCCCAATTACCCCATCTCTTTCTCGGGCCTGGTGGGTGTCCACGATGGAGATACGCCAGTGGAGCGCTTGTTTTTGGCACGGGTGCTTTTTTTCTTCTTTGAATCTTCAGCTGGTCCCAGGCGGCACGAGGCGGCGTTCCAGAGCGTGGGCGGCGGGCATGACGAGGGGTGCCGTGGTGGTGGTGCTTTGGGAGGGACACGGGGGACAAGGGGTGACATGTAGCATGCACATGTACTGTACGTAGGAGTACATGTACATGTCGGCAGCAGGAAGAAGAGGAAGAAGAGGAGGAAGAAGAAGAAGAAGAAGAAGAAGAGAGGCTTCACACCCACAGCGGGCCCAGCACGTGCCGCAGCGGGCAAGGCGACCCAGAAAGCGAAAGCGAGGTGCACCCTCAGCGTCCAGCAGCGCCCATGCGGCATCCAAGACGGCATAGTGTGGCAGCCCCCCTCTCCACCCAGCACCGCACCTCCCGCGCTCCTCTCCGTCGCATTCGCATTCTTGTCTCAATCTACGGCCTGACCACACGTCGAGTAGGCCCGTTACACTGCTTGTGCCTGTGCCTAGCTGTTGCCGCCGCCCGTCAGCGGTCCCATAGCCGCCCCCCTTCTGCCCTTGCCCCCCTCCCCCCTCCATGCCACGCCTCGGGCACAAAAAGTCCGTACTGCCATTACCCCACCCGCCCAATCGTCGCCCGCATCCAAACCAATAGCCGCAACCGTGACGGCGACGGGCATGCCACGGCTTCTTATTGGCACTGCGCTGGGCTAACCTGACTGTGCTCGACAGATCACGACTGGGCTGCCGACAGTGCAAGGCTCGCCACGTGAAGGTACGCCAGGGGGGCCCTTGGCCACCACCACCACCACCACCACCACCATCACCACCATCACCACCCCCATGAAGCGCAGTGCTAAAGCATAGTGACCTCCCCCCCCCAGTGTGACGAGCTCAAGCCGTGCTCCAACTGCTCCCGCCATGGCGTCGCCTGCAGTCTTGTCGCCTGGGACTCCAACACGCCCCAACCGCCCGCCGCCTCGCCGGCATCTTCCGCGGCTGCTACACACCGACGCACGAATCATTCTGAACGACCCATAGCCGTACGACCCGACCCGCTCTCCACACGATCCTCATCGTCGTCGACCCCCCCCTCGCGCCCCGACGCCCACCGCTCCACGACGCTGTCCGAGACGTCGTCCTCGCCCAACTCGCCCCCGGACCAGTATCCCTTCCTGTCCACCTTTATACATCGCCGCGAGCCCTCGCCAGCAAACATCTGGCTGCGCGACCTCGAGCTTCTGTAAGACGCCAACCCCCCGCCACTCCCTGACTGACCACTGCCAGCCATCATTGGACCACCGAGGCCTATGCCGACCTGACCTGCCGCCGCGAGATCCAGCACGTGTGGCAGGTCGAGGCCCCACGTCATGCAGTCGCCCACGGCTATCTCATGCATGAAATGCTGGCCTTTGCTGCCTTCCACAAGGTATACAAGGCCCAAGACGTGGATGCCCGCCGAGAGTACTACACGTTTGGCATCCATCACCAGGACTGTGCCATAAGGGGCATCCGAGAAAACATCCCCAAGCTCATACCCGATGAAGCCATCGCCATAGTAGCCACGTCCACCTTGCTTACTCTGAGCGTCTTTGCCTCGACGGGCTTCGAGGTCGAGTTCACTCCCTCGCCATGTGCCATTGACGGCCTCCTCAACTGCTTTCACCTCATGCAGGGCATGGGCAACGTCCTCGCAGTAGCCCACACCATAGTCCAGGACTCGTTCCTCATGTCCATGTTCAGTGACCCGCCCAACGTGACGCCTTCGCAGCCACTACTGGCTGAATTGATGCAGCACATGCCTGCGCTGACCGCCTTCATCCAAGACAAACATGACATGCCTGCGGATGAAAAAACAATGTTCCTGAACACGGTGGGCAGCTTCGGCCCCGTTTTGGCCGTTTCCATGCCTCCCAAAGTCGATCATCGCGAGCTGCGCTTCTTGTTCTACTGGCCCCTGCACCTGGCCCCGGAATTTCTCAATGCTGTACGACTGCGAAATTCAGCCGCCATCGCCATCATCATGTACTACGCCACCATTCTTCTCGCCGCCGAACCCCACTTCTGGTTCATGAAAGACTGGGGCCAGCGCGTCATGCAGGAATGCTACGAATCAATCGACCAAAGCTGGCTTCCGGCCATACAATGGCCCCTCACCTTCCTGAACCCAGACTCAACATGGCGGACCTTTTCCCATTTAGCTCCGCACCAAGATAGTACCCGGCAGGCGGGGGATGGCGTGTATTCACAGTGGCCACCAGGCGAGATACCCCATCGAGACATGCCTCCCGGGCGCTACACAACCAGTGATTTGGTAGACAAACGCGCTGCCGCACAGACGCTCGAGGTGCGCTTGTCAGGACCAGGCCTAAGGCCGGTTATTGCAATCAACAGGAGTAGCACTTCTTCCAATAGCCCGCCCCCCACTGCAGATAAGAACTAGGTCCATGTATATGTGTGTGCGTGGTGCAAGAAACCACCTACGTCACTCGTATACACACGGCTTTGCCAGACGTGCACGCTATACCGTGGGCCAGAAACCCTGCCACACACCTTATCCCTTATCCCCTTATCGCATCAGCGTCTGGCGTCGTCACCCCACGGCACTCGCGAGCCGCCCGTGTTTCGCGTGGCTTATGGGGCCTGCACTTCGGCTAGCCCGTCTTCGGATCCTGCATACATACATATATCCGTCCCCACATTTGTGGCTATGCATTGCCGGCTTGTTGATGCATTCGCCTTTTTTTCATACATACATACATACATACATACATACATACATACATACATACATACATACATACATACATACATACATACAAGCGACTGTTTTTCATCTTTTTTTTGAACATGAACACATCATTCATCAACTGGCTGAAGTGGATTTCAACATACATATATATATATATACAAAAGAGAGAGAGAGAGTATCAGAAGGGGGAATAGGACGGAAGTAGCGGCGGTGTTTACTCGAATCATGAAACTGGTAATTTGAAATACGTACACTTTTTTTTGTTAATTTTTGTCTTTCTTGGAGTTACAAAACTGCATACCTTACTGTACCTAAAGTGAAATCTAATCGGTATGCAAGTGATGCATTTTTGTTGAATGAATAGTCTTGATTTAGTCATTAGTTATATATATATATATATGTGTATGTGTGTGTATATATATGTATATATATATATATATATATATATATATATGTATGTATGTATGTATATATGTATGTATGTATGTATATATGTATGTACACTATCATAGCGGTTATGAGGAAAGGAGTTTTATGGACATGTTATTCATATGTGGGTTAGAGAGGTAGGGAGGGAGATAGGTAGATAGGCCTCGCCTCCTCTTCCTCTCTTAGTCTATCTACACACACATATATATATATATATATAACGAAAGACCGCATATGGCATGTATAATGCTATGTTGATCGCACGTATAATCACTCTCCTTCTCCCTCCGCCTCTGCCAGTTACTTACACTTACATTGATGCCCACGCATACAAAAACCATAATCATGAAATGACAAAAACAGAGCGGGGACTGACAAGGTAGTGCCTAACAACCAGCTAGTCCTGTAAGTGCATACATTGACTCTCTCTCCCTCTCTCTTCTTTATACAGTGCTAGCCTTGTTGATATATGCGGGTTGGTTAGATTGCATGACTAGGTCTGGGTCTGGGTCTAGGTCTGAGTCTAGGTGTATGGGATTCAGTGTATGGGACTAGATGTTGGAGAAGCGCTCACGGTAGAGAAGTATGCTAGAGGTGCTTGTTTACTTGTTTCCTTACTTTCTGGAGTGATGGCTGGGATCACCGACTTCTGTGTCTGTTTGTCTGTACGTGGGGATATTCACCTAAGTAAACAGTCATTTAGCCAGTCAGTCAGCCAGTCATGTACACAGCCAGTAATTTCAGCACAAGCATGGAAATTATATTTAGATCCAAAATAATCGCCAGATCCAAATTCCTATCCCACATTACATCCACCCATGCACATGTGCATGTTCATGCGTGTATGAGGAATATGCATGCACTGGCGCCAATCAGTTGGTGGCTGCGGTGGTGTGACCCATCCCCATTTCCGGCTCCGCGGAGCAAACAAAGAACAAGGAGCAAGGGGGTTTGGCTGTTGGATGTCTCAGGCAAGTTTGCCTGTGCATATGCATATGCATATGTGTGTGGCGCCTTTTTTTGTCTGCATATAGATGTATTGGAGCGAAAAAAAGAAGTATGCGTGTGTGTGTGTGTGTGTGTGCGCGAAGGAGATACGGATCGATACGGTCTTTTCGCCAAGATGCGGTTGGCATGGAATGAGCGAGGGGCTTTACGTTATCTGCATGCAGATGCTGCATGTTGTATGTGCGTGTGTTGGAGCCAAATGGAGGTGTGGGTATCGCATTTCTCTTACTATTCCCACCGTAGCTGCATGCGCGTGTGTATGTATGTGCCGGTTCTCGTGCTCGCGTTCTGCATGTTACATGTTACAGGTATGATGCAAGTCATAGCGTGCCATGTATGACGTGCAGTCTGCGGTATCCAGATTATATCTGCATCATGGAATATGCCTTCGTATCGTGTTACCTGCATTGAGAACTTTGCTGGGCGCCCAGACAAGCTAGGTTCCGGCGTGTGCGGCTGCTAATAGGTGGAGCAGCTCACTGTGGTTATCGCATTGTGATGCAGGATTGGAAGAAGGATTTCGCCAATGCTTGCACTGCGTGATAGATAGAGTGGTGGATGTGTTACATTGAAGATTTCTTTGTTCCCAAGACGGACTTCGTGTAGGACGGCATGAAGTGATTGGCGTGAAAATGGGAAATGGTAATAGATTACATATTATACTAGCGAATGTGGTGGTATAGCAGTAGTAGGTATCTGGGTCGTTCTAATAAGAGGAACATGTCGAAATCGATCATAGTAGCTCCGACAAACTGAGAGACACTGAAAAAGGTACCAGGAGAACAGGAAAATCCGGAGAGACCTTTCAAAGCAGGACCAATGCATGACAGGCACGGAGGAAACGCCGATGTGAAATCCTCAAGGTATGCCCGAGTATGTCCATTGTATGTGTCAGGGAGACATCGGCCGCGATGCATCATCCCCACTTGTTGCCCAGCGGTCCAACTCTTCTGTAGTGGGCTGAGAGACTGCTGTGCTTTCACTCTGGATCGTAATGTCACTTAGTCCTCTAGCGTGTGATGGTCGTCGTTCAATAGTCGACTGCTGTTGATTCTCTTCTGCTGCGCTTGTTTTTGCGGCCGCCGCTTCATCTGCAGTTTCCGATGGTTCAGAGCCCAGACCTGCCGTGCCCATATTACGGTTCGATTCATTGGCTCGGTCGTTCGCGAGAACTGTATCAATGTTGGTTCCAAGCGAACTGTCGCTTGGACTGCGGCTGTGCGGGGGATTCTGGGACGACCTCGGTGCCTCTGGTCCTGTGCGCGAAACTTCTTGCATTACGCCCTCCCCAGGCAGCTCAGCAATGGGCGTACATGATGTGCTGACGTTTGATGGCCCGCGGTCTCTTGTCCCCCCCTGTCGTCGCCCCCCGCCAGCGGCGAAATAATCGGTACCATCACGGCCTTCAGATGAGGGACTGTAAAGTTCGGCGGGGGTACTCTCTGGCGACATCTCACTGATCAGGGGTATTGACTTGTGGTCAGGGTTGTAGTAACCCACGGTCGAGGCTTTTGGTGAGAGTGGACCTTCGGACCCAGTGAGTTCCGAAATCCGACGATGCTTGACTTCCATGCCAGCATCAGTTGTGTCGATTCCAGACGGTTTTTCGGTCTCAAAGCTTTGCAATTTCCGACTGCGGCGCTTTCTCCACCAGAAGAATGCGCCAACGGCAGCGAGGATGAAAGCTACACCAATGCCCGCTGCTATCCCTGCAATAGCACCAGTAGGGAGTCCTGCTTTCGGATGATCCGGAGGAGCTTGTAATCCAGTGTACGACTCGTTGAAGATGGTAACGAGACTCTGTGTAGGCATCGGGTCAGCGAATAACGCTGGTGCGACTGTAAAGTTGGTCCTTTCATAGTCGACAATGATGTATGCTTCTTGCAAAAACGTGCGGCCCAGGACAAACATGCCATCCGCGGATCTTTTGATGGAAAAGTACTGGGTATTATCCTGAGGCACAGCCAGAGGAAAGCTTGCCTGTTGGACAAATGCTTCGTATGGCAGGACGATGGACGTGAATTTGTTGCTAGCAGAAGGGCCTGCGCCAATCTTGAAGGACACGGTAGCATTTTGACGCTGGTTGGTCTTGTGCGAAGTGGAATTCACGAGGAATAGCTGGCTGCTGTTGTCAAACTGCAACCCGAATTTGGTTACAAACTGGTCGCAAACGTCATCGGGCAAGATGAGATATGGGATGGTAGAATCAATCGTGGCAGAGAACCCCTCGGGCTGTGCTAATGAATATGTGTTAGTTTCAACGTCTGGATCCATTGTGTAGAGAACGGACTGGACGCCGACAGCAAGTGTATTGTTGCTCTTGTTCGGCATGCGAATCGATGTGCCTTGCGTAGTCAATCGTGCTTTGTCGTAGCCACCCAGGACTAAGCTCCCCGGTATTCCATTGCCGTTATTCCCTGTGTCCAGTTAGTCTATATTGGGCTATGAAATTGATGTGCGAGAAGAAGAGGTAGGAAGTGAGCCTGGAGCCATGCGATTTCTTGGCGCCTTTCCTGTGTTCTGGACAAAGATGATGAAGCAATCTGACTCGAGAACTCGAAAACGAACCACTTACGGTACGAAGCACCAGCTGTATACCCGTAGGACCGACTTGCGATCCTATTCGCGGAATAAAAGTTTTCCAAGAAAGTTGGCTTGTCTCCGCCAGACGGGCCTATGGATCCTGCAGCGAGGCCAAAGGAGCCCATAAAAGAGTCCTTGGTCAGAGTCTTTACGACATACTGTTCGGCCAATATGGGACTCTCTAGAGAGCTTGTCCCCAAGCCAATATTGTCGACCCCCCACAGCCCACCAGTGGCGTTAGTCTGCTCGATCCTATACGCATTTGACCACCAATACGGCATAGGTACATCATAAGTGTTGTCCGCTTTCCATTGCGCAGATTCCTGGAGACCAAGAGGCTGTTGTCCATTGAAAATCTCAACTCCGCGCTTCTTGGCGCACTCCTTATCGCACCATTCAGTCTGTCCTGGAAGAATGGTATTCGGCGAGGATGTAGAGATGAGCACTCTAAAGTTCTGGCCTTTGCCTGACCCGTCGTCTCCGATGTTGATGAAAAACGTCGACCATTTTCCGTCGTTGCCATCAAATCTTCCAGTGTCGCTTAAGACGTAGGGGAGTGGGGGTAGCGGAAGCGGCTCATTTCGTTTCGCGGAATGCATGGTTGAGATTTGCTGTCGAAGATCATAGCTCTGGTAGAGGAATATGGAGCAGATACAAGGATTTGCAGGTTAGAAGGGACACACTGCGCCAGACACGCCAACCAGATGTGAGCCCTCTCGCCAAACTAGCGGCAGCCTCAAAGGCGGGTTGGTTGAAGATGACCCGAGATGCTACAAAGCGGCATGCCTACGCATTCAATAGAGAGCGAACTGCCGTCCTTCATGACCGCTGCTTGGGGCGGATGATCATGGGCCCGCCTGGATGATGCTGGCGCTTCAAGCCTATCTGCTGCCTCCGTCCAGCTCGTGTCCGTGCTGCAGGCGGGGCTGGGGCACAGCAGCAGAAGGGCATCCAGCGGTCGCCTAACGTATGGCGTGAGTATATCACTGGACGGGGCATTACCGGTGAAAAGGTACTGGTTGTGTGGCGGCCACCGGGTTCCTATTGGAGCTGCAAGCCTAGGAGAAAGCCGCCACTAACCAGAGCTGCCGCAACGAAGTGTCATACTGAGGGGGCTGGATAGGTTGCCATTGTGCGAGGAGTATGGCTGGCTCGTGGGAGGCTTTCAGCTTTGGCTGAATGGGGAGAACCAAGCCGCCCGGTTGTCTTTCACAGCCGCAGCTAAGTAGGGCCGCGATCGCGCCAAGCGCCACCCCACTCTCCCCCGGTCCACGGCCTTGGGTTCTCACGTGCACGCGCTCTATTCTTACCTTTTCTCTGCCTTGCACGACACGCTGCTCATGGTTACTTTGCTGCCACACGTACAACTCTATCTTCACGAATCCATCTCGAGTTTGGTCTTTGCACCATTTGCGGCCCGCCCAGCTATGCACTGTCAATATGCAACTCGGAACAGCTGCCCATAGACGCGGGGAAGGGTTGCCCTTGTGCTCTACACCTTGCCATAACTTTTGGCCCCCGGAGGCATCGCTTGGGGCGCCTGTCTACTGATGATGGGCTGCAGATGGCTACTCCATTTAGGGTAAGTAGCTAGCTTTATGCGGATCCAATATCGTCCATGTCAGCACTCGCCTTGGGTCGCCTTTACAACTTGGCCCCAGACCTCTTCGCTGGCTGCCTTCTCGCATTCATTCCGCCAGCCATACCGCCATTTTGGTGTGGTTCCGATATAGCGTCGCATTGCTGTCACCATCCAGAGCTTCGTGAGCTTCATCTGCACCCCTGGCCCTAGTGGTTGCCTTTCACTGCGAGATGACGCTGCCCGTGGTCCTTGCAAGAATCTGAGTCAATCTATCATCATTCGGTTTTATGCCTGCAATCGGGAATTTTCAAGTAACACATCACCTGGAAGATTCTGCCTTGTGCTAAATATTCAGCTTCGCTTCTGGTTCCATATTTGCATACCCTAGTACGCTGGCCAAGCTCGTATGGTCCCAGCCTCCTGATAGAGTTGTATGCTCTTGTCGTATGCAGGGCGCCTGCTAGCTTCGTCACCGTCTTATACTAACTCCTCATGGTCGATTTCTTTTTCTCCACAGCATCCAGCTCATGTCCTGAGTAAGTAACGTACACAGTCGCCCAAATGGTCTAGATTCTTTCTGTCTCTCATCCTTGGCCCATACTGTTCAACAACGTGAGTGGATATATCTCGCCTAACTCACCAATCTTGCACCCGTGCCGCACAACTCCAACTCCCTTGCGTCTTTGTTTCCGCTTTCAATTAGCTCTTCGAAGCACTCTGCACCATCTCTCTGACGTGACCATCCAGCTTCAAGTCGTCACTCGTTGAGCCAAACTTGCAGTCTTTCACTTCATGATGCACAGTCGCTGGCCACTCCTGCTGGCACTGACTAGCATATCTCGTGCGCAGAACAGTACAGTACTGGGCGCTCAGGCAACGCCAACGCCTTTTTCATTGTCTGCAGAAGCCTCAGGAGATACAGTTCAGGTACAAGGGTACGGGCAGCCGGCAGGCACATGCAAGACCACTAGCACAGTGTATGAATATGGAAAGCCGCCTACGTCAACCATACACGTCACTGTCACGTCGCCGAAGACCTGTCCGAATCCAAATCCTAGCACATCGATCAAGACCGTCACAACTACCGTTACCCCTTCCGGAGGCTATGTTTCTCTCCCCCCACCAATCACCGTCACCGTCACCAAGTCCGGTGGGTATGGCCAGCCTCCAGTGACTGTGACTGAGACCAAAAACGTCACAATAACAAAGGCATGTCTTATCTCGTGACCATTTTAGTATGGATGCTGACCAACGAAGACCGAGAAGGAGACCATCACGAAACCAGGTAGCAACATCACCGAGGTACGATTTGACCGCACCAAATTTACACATGAGCCCATATTAAACCTAGTCAGACTATCACTACTACCGAGAAATACACAGAACCTGGTTCCAATATCACTGAGGTAACACATCGTTATCAAACTGTTGAATCACTGTTTGCTTACCTTCAAACAGACCGCCACATATACTGTATCCGGTCCAACAATCACAGTCAATAAAACTTTGACAGAGCTTACAACGGAGGTTGGTTTCCTAGCATCAACTGGAGAATCTAGTCACTAACATGCGTAGACCTTGACGTCAACATATGTCTCGGTATGCCATTTACTTTGTCATTACGCCCTCCGATGATTAGATGCTCTTGTTTCCCCGTCATGTTCACTAGTCTTTGCTCGCTTGATGAGCTTTTCTCGACCATCTGACAAAATACCGTGGTTTATCACATTTGCTAACAACTGTACAGCTAGTACCAACCACTGAAATCAGTTACACCCCGACGACCGAAATTCTGACATCGACCGATTTCAACACTATAACTCAAACCTTCTTATCCACTATCATCAGTGTTTCCACGTCTGTGTATACTTCGGTGGGTTGGATTTGATCACTTGTAGCAATTCCTACAGTGTTAACGTGTTATTCGTTTAGGTCACAACTTTCTCTACGACCTTTTACGACACAATCACAGTCACTCGTAAGTCGACTATTTTTGTTAACACTTCTCGCTTCTGTTCATTTACAGCATGGCTGTACCCTCTGATGCCAGTGAAGAATGTGGAGAGGACGAGCGCACTATGTGTTGCTCGAACTATATGCATTGGATCCTCTGATCACTTTCCTAAGCAACCATTTTGAAATGAGACTGACAGTCAACAGTTTCTGGCTCAACTGTTATCAGCACTACAACAGTAGTCTCAGAAACGACGTCAACACTCACTTTCACCGACTTCATCTCCGTGATACAAACCGTGCCAGGTCCAACCGTATCAATCCCAGGTCCTACAGAGACTACTGTTCAGACCGTGTCGGTACCTGGGCCAGTTGAAACTGTGACCAGCATTCAACCAACGACGACAACACAAAAGGTCACGACGACAGAGACCTCATGGACTACCAGCATATCTACATCGATTTCTACATCGACTACAACTGAACTGGTTCCCACCACCATAACTGGCAAGTGCTCTAGCTCGAAGAGGAATTGGAAGAAATCTAATAGCATGCAGTTTCTGGTTCTCCTAGTGTCAGTACTCAGACTATTGTTTCCGAGGTGTTGGTTACGTCTACATTTACACTGGAGGTTCCACAGACGGTCATTATCGTCTCTGAACAAACGGTTGAAATCCCTGGACCTACCGTTGAGGTTCCGGGTCCAACTGTCGAAGTCCCAGGCCCTACTATCGAAGTACCAGGTCCGACTATCGAAGTACCAGGGCCTACTGTCGAGGTTCCAGGACCTACCATTGAATTGCCAGGACCTACTGTTGAATTGCCAGGACCCACCGTTGAGATACCCGGACCCACTGTTGAGATTCCAGGGCCCACAGTAGCAATCACAGTGTCTGGACCGCTACAAGAGATCACAGTCCCCGGTCCAACCCAGACCGTTGAGATAGTAGAGACTGTCGTGGAGACATTGACCCAAGTTTCGACTCAGCTCAGCACTTTGACTCTGCCACCCCAGGTTGTAGTTACTACAACAACGCTTCCAGGAGTCACGTCGACAATAACAACCCAACTTCCAGCGAGTACTGTTGTATCTACGATTCTCTCAACACTGACTCTTCCACCAACGACCGTGACCTCTGTTTCTGTATCCCCGCCAACAGTCATTACAGAGACGTTCACACAGCCAGGCCAGATCACTACGTCTACTCTTACGCTTCCCGGCAGTCTTACCACTGTCACCACACAACTTCCTGGAACCACTCAGCTCTCCACCATCACTCTGCCTGGAGAAATCGTAACTACTACCGTTGAGCTTCCTGGAACTACCTCGTTAGTGACCACTCAATTGCCTGCAAGCACGGTTGTCTCCACTGTTACCCTGCCAGGTGAAATTACCACCTCGGTCATTCAGCTCCCAGGAGTGACTTCAGTAGTAACCACACAACTACCACCAAGTACGATCCTATCAACCATTACCCAGCCAGCTGTGACATCTACGGTCGTCAGTGAGCTTCCTGGAAGTGTTACTACAAGCACCGTGCTCTCGACTATTACTTTGCCGGCGTCTACCATCTTGACTACCGTGTCTCTTCCTGGCTCAAGCGTTGTTTCGACCTTGACTCTCCCGGCTGAGACTACAGTCTCGACTGTCTTGGTTACACAGTCCATCGTCACTACTCAAATCGCACCAACTACCGTTATTCAGACGGCGACTCCTCTTTCATCCAATCACCCCCTTTCATCCGCTCCTCTTTCGTCCGCTTCCCTGCGGTCTGCTCCCCTGTCGTCTGCTCCCCTGTCATCCACTCCTCCAGCCTCAATCACTTGCTCCAGCGGATGTCAAATCGATGTTACAGCCACACGGCTAGGCTACCCAGGAACCGTCATCGTCTCCACCACGTCGCTACCCTTGGTTACTCTCGACATCTTTACCGATGCAAGCGGAGAAGAAGTGAGCTCCACACTCTACACGAATCCGCCACCGGCTGAAACCCCAATCACCTGGGATTTCTCAAGTGTGACATTGACATGGCCGACGGTTTACGCTGCATACGCAACGTTCAGCCGCCTCGAAGTTGAGCCCGTCGGCTCCGAGTGCGTGACCGAGACGTCGACGCTATCGCTGCCAACTCCCACAGAGTGGCGACCCCTTATCGTGGTTGAGAGCGAAATCCCAGAGCCAAGGACATCAGTACCACCTACTGTGGTCAGCTATCTGAATACACTGCCCACGGTCATTGAGCAGCTCGGCCAGCCCATAGGCGCCAGTGCATGCGACCCGATTGTAGGCAGTACAGCTAACCCCGGTACTTCGACACGGGGCTCGACAACGCATGTGACCGCAGTCCCGGCCGCAACGGTCGTCACCCGCCGTCTACCAACAGCTGAAGGTGTCGTAACGCCATCGACAGCTGAAGCTCCGCCAGTGAAAACCACAGCAAAGCCAACTGAGGCTGCTCCTACCAACACACCAGTTCCACCGCCACCTCCGCCACCAACTTCAAGTAGGCTTTCCCCTCCTTCGCCTTCTACCATCGTTCCAGAGGCAAGCCGTGAGACGCCTCCCGCGCCATCCAGCGCTCCTCCCGCGCCACCCAGTGCAGCTCCGCCACGAACAAGTATCGCGCCTCCGTCAAGCAACCCTGCTGACTCCGCGTCTGAAGGCCCCTCGCCGCCACTATCCGCAGAGCCCTCAACCGCAACCGCAGCTTCTTCTCCGACCGGAGAAGCGCCCCCTTCGTCTCTCGCGCCACCCGCCTCCATCCCCCTCTCCAGCCGCACAACCACACAATCAACGACCACAACCAAAAACGGTATTTCGTCGCCCGTACGACCCTCCAGCTCGTTCTCAGAGTACACCGGCGGCGCGGCGCTGCCAACGGGCCAGCTTGCAGGTTTCTTGATTGGAGCTGCGGGGCTGGGTCTGGGCTTGTTTTAATCGTAATCCAGAAGAAGATAAAGACACGCCCCCTCATGAAGAATGGGGTGGAGTTGAGATGTGCATAATGTTGTTGCAATGTATGTTGGCTTATTTATCGAATATGACAACGAGTAATGATGTATGCCCAGCACGCACATGTTTTGAGGTACGTTGGAGGAACCTACATAGTGTTTAACTTAATGAATGAGTACATGTCTATTGGCTAGTGGTGCGCAAATGTGCAAATGTGATGTTGACCCTGAAGTGCTGGAGATGGTGGAAATGGAAGTCAAGCTGAACGTTGGGAATAGCGAAAAAGGAAAATGCTGCACAGTAGTGCATTGCTAGAATTTGGGAGAGATTATGTTCAGTCGTGTGAAATAAGTGGTATGAAAACACCACGTTATCATATAGAAGAAGAGAGAAGAGACGTAAAAAGGGGATAGGGTAAGCGGGTTCATGCTGTTCATTATATTTTCCTACGGTTTTCTATGCTCAACTCAATAATTCCTTGATATCCTCTATACGCTGGATGCGCTTTTCTTCATCCGACATCATACCCAGCGAACTCGCACTGCAGAGCATGGTTAGCCTCGTAAAACAGAGGAAGACATTGCCTCAACTTACATAAACTTCTTTCTCTCTTGGATCCTCAACATCTTCTCCTCAATGCTGCCCTCGACGCAAAACCGCACTACTTTGACCTCCCTCTCCTGCCCCATGCGATGCACACGATCAATAGCCTGGGCCTCGACTGCAAAACTCCACCATGGGTCCATCATAAACACCTTGTTCGCACAAGTCAGATTCAGGCCTACACCGCCCGCCCGCAGACTCAGCAGCAGGACGTATGGCTTCGGTGAGCTGTTAAATTCTGCCAAGATCTGTGCACGTGCTTTTTGGCTGATGGAGCCATCGAAGCGGAGAAAAGGTATGTGGTCGCGTGTCAAAGCAGGCTCAATGAGGTCGAGGAAGGATGTGAATTGCGAAAAGACGACGGTTTTGGCGTTCTTTTCTTCTTTGCGCATTTTCTTGAGATGGCCCAGTAGCGCTTGGGTTTTGGCGGAGCCGGTGAGGCCAATGCGACAGAGGCTGATGCGAGGTGCTTGTGTGGAAGTTGATTGCAGTGCGTCGGTAGGGCGGAAAGCGTGGTCGGACTCATCTTCGGCGACATGATCATGTCGGACTACTTCAAAGACGTCGCGCGCGTTGATGGGCTCGCGGCAGTTAAAGCAGCGCGGTATTTCGTTCTTATCGCGTTGGTGGGCAATGTAGTTGAGCAGACATTCTTTGCAGGCCGAGTGCCAACAGCCGGTAACGGCTTGTTCAATCATGGGTTCTTCTGAGCAAATGGGACATTCGGCCTCCTTCTCGTCTTGGATCTGTTTCAAAACATGTGCACCAAACCTGTTCACGTCTTGGTCGCCTTCAGCCTCGAAGCGCTCAATCAGACTGGAGAGATCCATATCGTCTGCGAGGCCATTTGCGAGGTCAGAAGCTAGCGAGGCGTCTTCTTCGTCAGCAACGACGTTGGCTTTACGGGTGAGAATGGGATGACAGCACGACTGTCGCAGTCGAAGAATCTGAGCGAAGATGGTCGTGTATGACTTCATCAAAGTGCCAGCCTCTGCATTGGCACTGAATACGCTTTTCGCGCGCATGTATATATGATCGTATACATCTCGCTCATCCTGAGACAGTACAATCTTCTCAACATCAATGGTCCGTGGCGGCAGTGGCACTAGAGCTTTGCCGTCTGGTGTCTTCATATCCTTGGTTCGACGGAGTACCAATGGTTCAAGTACTGTTTGCACAACGTTTAGGGCACGCACAAAATCGCCTGACTCAAATGGAACTGTGATGAATGTCTTCCAGAACGAAAAGTTTGCCCATGGTTCGACCTTGAGGAAACGAATCAGACTGAACAAATCCTCAAGTCGATTGACGATTGGGGTGCCGGTAAGTGCCCAGCGATGTCTTGCGCTGAGCTCATAACAAGCCTTGGCTGTCTTTGATTGCCGGTTTTTGATGTAGTGTGCTTCGTCAAGGATGATTCGGAAGTAATCTAGGGAGAAGATGCCGCCATGCGAACCCCGGTTCCCGTCTTGCGCAACGACCTGACTGTACTCTGAAAGGACGGTACCATAGCTCGTGATGATGACATTTGGTGCGTTGGCTGCGTTGGAGGCACAACACAGCTTTTGCAGATTAACTGCCTTCTCAGAGCCATAGTACACCATGGCTTTCAATGTGCCCTCCTTGGATGCCTTCTCAGCCTCGCCATACCACTGCGCTAGGAGAGACATTGGCGCTATGACAAGGGTAGTATATGGAGCAGGCTCAACAGCCGCACTAGCCTTCTGGAGTCGTGGCAGAGATTTGGGCGTGGTCAGCGCCTCGTCGCTGGTGACTTCTGTTCTGTGTGTGTGGATCAAACTAAGCATTTCGATAGTCTTGCCCAGACCCATCTCGTCAGCAAGGACACCACCCAGGCAATTCTGCTCTTGCTTTGGAAACTCCAGTGACAATTCGCCAGAATAGGGATTGACATAGAACATATTCTGGTCTTCGACAGTGGGCACGGGCTGATTGTTTGCATCGTGAGTCGGCCATAGGTACTCCTCCCACAATGGATGCATCGATGTTTCTCTGTCTTCGATCGACTGATCCTTCTCTTTGCTGACCATCCAAAACAATGCTTGCTTTTGGTACTTTCGCAAGTCCATACGGAACGTGTTGGCAGGTTCCATGGTCGGGGTGTTGAAGTCGAAGGATTGAGCCTTCTTGTACAAAGAATCTAGTTGGTCCTGTTCGAGCTCCTCCCCTTCTTCAGCTTCTTCTGGGGGTGGTGAGGATGTGGGGTCGGCAGGAGTCGAATATGCTGTGGATGTACCACTTTTTGGTTTGGGCTTGTCGCCTTTCTTTTCGTCGGTCTCTGCGGCTTGTAAAAGCCCCTGTCTCTTGTGTTTTGCTGTTGTCTCGTTCTCATGTGTGGGCTGGAGACTGATAGCCTCGAATAACTTGACCAGGCCGACCTGCCGCAATCGAAGATCCCGTTCGTCGGAAGATTCCTTTTCCTCGAACAAATTGATCTCGCGATTGTTGTCCGGTTTTGCGAACTTCCTGATGTCGAATGCCGTTCGCAGGAAATAGCCTCGGAGTTGCAGGTAGATGGTATCTCCTGTCCGCAGCTTTTCCGGGGTGTAGACAACAGAGCCTTCAAACGAGCACACGTTCTGGTCTAGTAGGACAGATACCCATGTCGCAGTATCGTTGTCCAGTCTTCCTACCTCCTCTCCTCTTTCGTTTGTAAAGCGCACTACAATATCCGGCTTCTTGAGCTGAATGACCTTCTTAGCCTTGTTTAGTCGAGGCTGTGGCTTGATGCGCTCGATCCGAACCTTCTCATCGTGCTTGAGAAGGCCAGTCCCGCTCTTGGTTGCCCATGCAGCAGCACCAAACGAGCCAATGTACCGTTTACTCGGCATTTCGCGTATTAATTGGGGTGTGCAAGAGCCCGATGCAAGAGTGGAGGCGATTGAAACGTCGGACTCGGTACGTTTGAGCGAACTCGCTATCGTCATCTGAACAGACTGCGGACGAGACTGGAAAATCGGTGCGGGGGGCCTTGAGGGCATGGTACTCCAAGAGCCATCTAAATAGAGGTTGATGGCTGGCGATTGTCAATTGTGGCTCTCGGACATATTCTGAAATTACCTACCTCGCTGTACGTCACTTCCGCTGACATCCTTTAGCTTTTGCAACGTCGCATTGGAAAGTTCTCCAACGACAGCCTGGAGCATTTCAACATCGAAAGCGCCAAAGTCTGTGTCCCCTCCATTGCCATGTTCCTCGGCCGGTGGCGCTCTGGGGTCCTGCGGCTGTGATGGCGGCGACGACGATAGAGGGAGGTCAGCGGGCTTTGTACGAACTTGTACAGGCGAAGAGTCTTCTTCGAAGAAACGGCGCTTCTTGGGGGGTCGTTCATCGGGGTGGGGAGATTGCATGGTGTTGATGTTGGTCGATGGCACTTTCGCCGCATGTCAAGTGCGCCGACGCGTCGACGCGCTTTCACGAACCCACATGGGCCAAAGTGCGGGTGATCGACATGATAGCGTCATACACGCCAACCAGTCGCCGTCGACCCTTTGCGCCTTACCACAAGCAATTGACGCTCCCCAGGTGTCGCTGTCTTTGTCCGGACTTGCGCAAAGGTTGCCTCGCTGTCTTTTGTTTGTTTGCATTGCGCAATGGCTGTTTGCAGTGTACCATAATCCTTGACCACTGTTAGAAAAAGTTTCAATGCCGCCACCAAGGCTCTGCACAGCTCCCTTCCGGCGCATAGATTGCTACCCAAGGCCTCAGCGGAGGTTGTTCCATGCTTCTCGATGCCTCAATAGCGCAGCAAGGCCTTCTGAGGATGAGGTTGCAAAGGCTCGCGCATATTGTGCAAACTTAGTCAGGTAGTTGCATTTCTATCACCACGGGCCGGCCCTCATTGACGACCTGCAGAGCATACGACGCACCCTCCCACATTCTACAGACCTTCATACCACAATCCTCCCGCGATACTTACCTCGCTATCCGCGCCTTCAATGTCGATGTCGCCCGCGTCGCTGATACTACAAGCACACCCACCATCGGCATGATGCGCATGCAGTTCTGGCGGGATACCGTAACCAAAGCGCTCGCAGGAACCCCACCAAAAGAGCCAGTCGCCATTCTGCTGGCTCGAGCGGCAGAGGACCTGCATGAACGCTCAGAGGGAAAGGCACGTCTAAGCAAGAATTGGTTCCACCGCATCATCAACACGCGCGAACAGCATCTAGGGAACCCACCGTACCCAACCCTGAGCGCATTAGAGAGTTATGCCGAGAACACATACTCAACTATGCTGTATCTGACGCTCTCTGCGCTGCCGCAAGCATCCCTTACAACCGACCATATTGCATCACACATTGGAAAAGCAATGGGTATTGCTGCAGTGCTACGAGGCATACCCCTTATCGCATTTCCGCAGCAACAGCCCCTTGGCACTAGCAACTCCATGACGGGCCAATCGGGACCAACCCAGGGCGCTGTTCTCCTACCCCTCGATGTCATGGCCGAAGCCTCGGTCCGCGAAGAAGACGTATTCCGACAAGGCGGCTCCGCCCCTGGTCTCCGCGATGCCGTCTTCACCGTCGCCACACGTGCAAACGACCACCTCATCACGGCCCGTGAAATTTTGTCCAAGCTGCGGTCCGAAGGCACGCTTGGCCACGATTTTGAACATCAGAACGACGGGGGCCATGAGTATAGCGTGCAGCAGATGAACACGGGGCAAGAGGCGCAATTGGCAGAAGTAGAGCAGGCTTTTGGCGTTTTCATGCCCAGCGTTGCGACTCAGGCGTGGCTGGACAGATTGCAAGGAGTCGACTTTGATATTTTCAATCCAACGCTGAGAAAGGTGGATTGGAAGCTGCCTATGAAGGCTTACTGGGCGTATACTCGACAGAAACTATAAGTCTGAGACCAGTAGACTTGGAAAACGACTATGATCTTGCTACAGCGTAATGATTTTGTGTATGTGATGTGCGAGTGTCAGACACGCGAGAGCTTTACGGATATGCTTCGGGGCTAAGACTGATAGGCTCCGAACATGCTGACCCTGGTTTGTTACTGTGTTTCCTCGATACGAGAAACTTCCGTTTAACTTTTAGAAAAATCATGCTTGCAGAGTTACATGCACAACATCAACAAGAGCACACAATGCCAGGATTAGCACTTGATAGTATACACATCCATCACGTGGTGTCCTTGCACGACGAACAAATGGCAGTAGTAACAACCCTATCATCGTCTCACCAAAAAAAAACACTTGAGTCTCTGAGTCCTCTGAAACATGAAATGGTCATTTAAACTTCTATCTTCCTATTTGATATAGTAGATGTATTACCCACCATAAATGAACCCCAGATGACATAAGCAAGCGCACCATCGTCCGAAAACTTGGCAGCACTAATCCCACTTTAGGTCTAGTCTACCCACGATAGCGGACGCCAATTTTGCAATCGCACGACGAACCTCCCGCGCGACCAGCCCGAACGACAACTCCCTCTCGCACCCGCCCTACGACGACCAAAAAAAAGACGCAGGATACCCATCTCTTTGCGCTCCTCACCCCACTCGCATCAAAAATGTCTACCACCGTACGTACAACCGCTTTGCTGTTTCCCAGGCGCGACACACTCCACCGGGGGGACGCATGATCTCATCTCAGATTCTACCCTCCTCTGGTGGTGGTTTTGATGTCGTGCCATGTGCTCCGAGAACAGTAGGCTAAGTACAAAAAATTTGTTTGTGAAATACAGAAGCGCAACGCAGCCGCCGCCAAGAAGGGCCAGAAGGTGACGAAGAAGTTCATCATCAACTGCTCGCAGCCCGTCAACGACAAGATCTTCGACATCCAGGCGTTTGAGAAGTTCCTGCACGACCGCATCAAGGTCGAGGGCCGCACCGGTAACCTCGGCGATACCATCCAGATCAGCCAGCAGGGCGAGGGAAAGATCGAGGTCATTGCCCACCAGGAGTTTTCCGGTCGCTACCTCAAGTACCTGTACGTCGTCCTTCTTTCATTGCAAATTCGGGGGAAAAAAAAGAGAGGAGATTCTGGGTGGGATGTGAAAGGGAGATTATCAGCTAATGTCATGGAATAGTACCAAGAAGTTCCTCAAGAAGCAGCAGCTCCGTGACTGGCTCCGCGTCGTGTCCACGTCCAAGGGCGTCTACGAGCTTCGCTTCTTCAACGTGGTCAACGACGAGGCCGACGAGGACGACGAGTAGACGTTGCGATTTCAAGCACTTTTGTTACACCACCCGTGACTTGCATGCATGCATGCATGCTATGGAGTCTAGTGTGTTTGGGGAAAATAAAGGGAAAAGCGGTCGAACGTCTGCATGGGCTGGATAGCATACAGTCAAAATGAATTGATGCATTTGCCCAATACTACGAACCTGTGTGCAGTCCTCCTCAATTGACCTATTGCGTGACTTGTGTGATTTTTTGTCGAAATGACGTAGCAGCTGCGAACATCATCTTTCTGCATGTGCACCCAATCTTGATTATTATTATTATTATTTTCATTGCGAATGAGCAGGCGTGGAGCAAGACAAGGGTGAGTGAGGGTTGCAGGGCAGGATTGTTCTGTGGATCATGGCCCAGGGGAAAGAAGAAGCATCATTGGTCTAGTAGAGAAAAAAAAGAGGTCATTGCTTAAGAAAGAAAGAAAAAAAACATATTCTGAAACTTGGATTTGCACATCACAGACCAGTGTGAGTGGAGAGCAAGAGCACAAGCAGAAAAAAAACCCTTGCACTCCACATGATGCTAAAAGGTAGGGTGCGGGCAGCGGGTGTGCACGATGTTTTTCCGCGGGAGAGCTAGCAAGCAAGCAAGAAAAAAAATGGCCCCATGAACTAGGTAGGTCATGGGCAGCGCTAATGTCGTGATCTAGGTTCTGAGCAGAGGAGGAAGCTTGCATAGAGGGTTAATTTTCTTTTTCTAAATAGCATAGTTCGGAGTATTTGTGTAGGCGTATTTTTGTTTCCGAATAAAAGTAGTCATGTGGTTAGTTGGTTGGTAAGTTGGTTAGTAGTAGTTGATTAGTGGCGGTGGTGTGAGATTGGATGAAACTCGTCTGGTTGTGGAGTGAGCACCACCATCATACGAGTATGGTATTATGCATCCGTCCATGTCCGCAAAATACGCTCAAGATGGGAATCTGGACCTGGTCATGGACACGCGTTGTGTGTTTGAGCGGTCTGGTGGTGGTGCTTTGTTGGCACGCGCGTGTTGTTCACGGTGCAGCCTGAAAGGTAGCAATTAGGATGGAGGCGGCATGCTGTTTTGGGCCGATGGCCGGGGATGAGGGTCGGTGGTATTTGGCGCGGCGGGCACTAAAGGCCTGTTCCGGGCAATTTAGTCGCAGTCGCCAACAACCACGACCACTTTTTCTCACGACAGGATCCACCTGTCACAAGGCGTTGAGACAACGCACTTGGTGTGTCGCGGCATTTTGAGTTATCCACCGGAGAAGTATGGCGAGACGTGTCCGGGTGCGGGAGGGGCGCCGCGAGGTGGAGAATGGTATTATGATAGCTGGCAGTGCTGTGTTGCGTTGTTGTGTTGCGAGAGTTTGTGCCGTAATACGTCGGTTTCACCGGATGCGACGCAGATTAAAGTTCAATGTTCTGGAAGGTTGAGAGACGCGTAGACAGATGCGATTGATCACCGGTGAAGATCCTGACGTTGAAAGGGCCATAGCGGGAGAGTCCCTTGCATGTGAATGCGGTATAAGCTGTGACGACGTGCAACTTCAGGTACATTGAAAGCAATCGGGCCGTTGGAAGGCATTGAAGGCCCTGGCCTGAAGCCGCATTTTGGAGCCGCAAGGCAGGGCAAGGGCAGCAACTTCAGACAACGTTCTGGGCACGGGGACGGCAAAAGTGTCGGCTTGGATAGTCATGGACATGGGGGGGGTCGGTTGTCAATGGGGGCCGGCCAGCAGGGTGCCATGGCACGTTGTGCGTGTGCAGTAGATGGATTGGATGGCGCGATACGACGTGATGACTGTAGAGTTGCGGCTACGCGTGGCGGAGTGCGAAAGCCCGCGACCGATGTCCGACGGAAACGAGGCACTCGGAGCAGCTGGAGGAACCATTGGACAATGGCAGGGCGCCCGGACTCCGGGTCGGTGAACGGGTTGCGAGCGAAGGCCGGGCAGGACAGGCCGGGCAGGGGCATGCGGCGCCTGCATCTGGATTGCCCGATGCGGGCGCAACCTTGGCCCATGGCTTGAATGCGGACGCCATTCCAGCGTCACGCGGTGCTAAGCGAAAACAGTTGTGAGATGAAGATGAGCAGGGTACACCTAGGCGTAGTGTGCATGCCATGGACAGGCCGCGTGATTGGACTTTGCGGGCGAGACTCGACGTTTCCATCGAGTAATGTAGAACAGTCTGGTCTCCCAACGAGTGGATGCCTTTGACACGAGGCAGCCAGAGCGCCAGCCACGGTCGGGCCGCGACGCCAAAATTGTGTAAAGAGGCTGTAAAAGATCTGGGACGGGGTGGGGCAGCGCGTCCAGCGTCTCTGCTGGGCCCACGGTGTGCAAGAAAAAAATTCGACGCTTTACATGACGCCGGGCGCCTTGGCAGCGGTACATTCCTTGAGACGACATGACAAGGCCTCGATGAGCAATTGCGCCTCGTCAAGTCGCAATGAGCGCGAGGCGGCATGCCGGCAGCGCGAGGGGAAGCGGGTGCGTGTGAGACAGCAGCGTGGCCTGAGTACTGCAATGAGCGCGTGCGGCCGGACTTTGCCAAATTGGCTGATGTGATGATGATGGCCGAGGAGAAGCTGCTGACCCCGGAGTGCCACTCACCTGCTGGAGACGCACATGAGCCTGAGGGCGCGCCTGTGGGGAAGGGCACATCACCTTTGCATCTGCCTTGTCAAATAGGGTTGCCCAGGCGGGCAGTGTGCCGCTGCAACAGAGCACCCCGGAGTCTGGCGGGGTGGGGACGTATGAGTCTGGTATGATGCGTGGTGGAGTGAATGGCGGCCGGCTGCCATGACGGTACCTGGAGCTGGCCGTGTGGGCAAAAGGCCTCGCTAGGCCCGGGGGACGACACGCAGCCGGCCGCCCACGCCCCGGGCCAGGATTTAGCGGTGAGCATGTCAGCGCAGCGCAGCGATGCGCAAGGCGTAGATGTGCTGTATAGGGGACGCCCGTGGGTGTGTATGTGTAAGCGTGCGGCGCATCACATAGGGCGCGTCTGTCGTCTGTCGTGGTGTCTGTTTGTATACACGGACGGGCGCGCAGTTGCGTCGCATAGGGCGTGCCCAGTGCACAGGCTTGGCATTGGCGGCTGCGCGCGCCGTGGTTGGCTGGCTCGCGTGTTGACGTCTGTTGGTCTACACGTCCAAGTGGCAGGCACGACCGACGGGCGACGGCGACTGCGACTGCGACTGCGGCGGACGGTGACAAACAGGTTCACTGGCGATCTCGTGAGCGGAAGGCCGTGCGCGCCTGCACCTGCCCTAACACCACTGGCACCTACCCTTACCTCCTGACCCAAAATTTACCCTCGCTGCAGGGTTGCGCTTGCCGCTTGCGGCTAGCGCCAGCCCGCCGCATCCCTGCCGCTGCTACCACCGATGAAATCATGCAAAGCGCCCATGAGGCAATCCAGTCATCGAATTTCTCTTACACACCACACCGGTCCCCTACTCTCTTAAATAAGGCGTCGCCCTGCCCCCAGGCACGCCCTCGACCTTGCAAGAGCCAGAATATGTTCCTGCCACAAACTCTCATCAACTGCCTCCACTCCCACAAGCTCAATTCGTGAGCACAGCTGCACTCGACGCTTTGCACCTGCATACATCTCGCCTGCCGGCCCACGCCCGCCCCCGCCACGATTGGACAGAGCCTTATCTCGCTCCCTCGCGCCCACTCATATCTCGCGCCCTCAGCCCTACCCCAGATTCTTTATCTCGCCCAGGCCATGCCCGGTCGCCTGCTTAGTACCCTCGCGAGGGTCGCGCCCACGCCGTTGCCCAAACCGGACCACGGCAAACCGCACGCCGAGGGCCTGCTGCCCCCCGTCTACTCGTACGACGCCCCTCGCGTCAAACCAAAGTCCAAGTCGGAAGAGTCGCTCGTCATGGACATCTTCAACCGCCACAAGCACGACAAGCACGACAAGCACGCCAAGGACGACCACAAGAAGAGCCCAAAGGCCGAAGCCGAGGGCGCCGCCTCGATGAATATGAGCGTCGAGTCGCCGCCCATTGTCTTCTACAACAACCCCCAGACATCGACTGGCGCCATCCTCTCCGGCCAGCTCCAGATCAACGTCCACGAGCCCTACATCACCGTCGACAAGTTTGAAATGCGCATGCTTGCCATTGTCACCACCAAGAAGCCCGTCTCGCCGCACTGCCCGGACTGCACCACTCAGACCACCGAAATCCACAAGTGGGAGTTTCTGACGCATCCCGCTTCTCTGCGCCACGGGCCCCACAACTTTCCCTTCAGCCACCTGCTGCCGGGACATTTGCCCGCCACCACGCACGGCACGCTCGCCACCATCGACTACTACCTGTCTGCCGTCGCCACCACGTCTTCGGGCAAGATCATGTACAAGCGCAACATTGACATTAAGCGCGCCATCTTCCCTGGCGCCGAGAAGCACTCGATTCGCATCTTCCCTCCCACCAACCTTACCGCTTCGGTCAAGCTGCCCCCGGTCATCCACCCCATTGGTGATTTTCCCGTCGAGATGCGCCTCTCCGGCATTGTTCAGAACAAATCCGACTCGCAGACGCGATGGAGGCTGCGAAAGCTCAACTGGCGCATCGAGGAGACGCAAAAGTTCATTTCGCCCGCCTGTGCCAAGCACATGTCCAAGGTTGGCGGTGACGGCAAGGGCATTCTCCACGAAGACGTCCGCGCCATCGCCAACGAGGAGGTCAAGACTGGCTGGAAGACGGATTTCGAAAAGGGCGAGATCGATGTCGAGTTCCAGGCCGCCTGCAACATGGCCATGAAGCCTCTGTGCGACGTGGAAAGTACAAACGGCATGAGCGTCAAGCACAACCTCATCATCGAAATGGTTGTTGCTGAGGAGTGGGCACCACTCAAGAAGCTCAGTCAGGCTACACCCACCGGCGCGGCTCGCGTTCTCCGCACTCAATTCCACCTAGTCCTTACAGAGCGTTCCGGCATGGGCATCGCTTGGGACGAGGAACAGCCTCCACTGTACGAGGACGTTCCCGTCAGCCCGCCCACGTACGTCGAGGAAACCGAATATCCCTTTTCCAACCATAGCTCTCGGTCTGGTAGCTTCAGCCTTGAGCATTAGTTTGGACCTGTTTTATTTCTTCTCTTCATTCATACCCATTCGTCATGGTCGATTTGACGACGATTCACGAATTTCCTTACTTGGTCAAGGTCTGATTCTTGCAATTATCACTTGTGGACCGTAGGATATACCCCCATTTGCACATTGTTTCCTGGGCGTTGCATTCACTCGCCCCTCTCTGGTCTTTTGTACGGCGTTTTGGTTCATTGCTGGATTGCCTGAGGTGAGCCTGTAGAGAGGCCCCCTTGCATTGATTAGACATTCAGCTGGGCGTTTCAAACAAAAAAAGTTTTGGCCCAACAAGATATCATTTCATTTGTCAACACACCCCACTATTCATAAAATAATACATAGTACACCGTAGAATAACAAATTTTCTACATTGTAACCTTTTGTCCTCTCCAGATCGACCCGTGATTAGCCGTGACCGTGAAGCAGAAGTAAGAGGAAAAAAAAATTCACCAACTCTAAATTATGCGGTGCTCATGCCCCTTGCATTAAGCTCCCGTTTTTACGTACTCGGATTGCATTCCGTTACCGGCGCGCGGGCAAACCATGTCGTACTAAAAATACTTACTCTGACAACAGCCCCCTTGTTAAGCACCTGAAAACAAGCTCTCTCTCTCTCTTTCTCACACACACACACACTGTTAGTCATTAAACACAACATGATTCTGCTCGCCCTGCACGAAAAACCCCCCCCACCCCTCCCACCAAGTCATGGAACACGCGCCATTATCCATTACTCAAGCCACGTGTCTGTGTGTCTGTGTGTGTGTGTGTGACCAAGTATGTGTCTATGTTGCAATTACGTATAAGTAAAGCTGAGTCTAAAGTAAGTACAGTAAGTAAGTAAGAGTGAGAGAGAGAGAGGGGAAAAAAAATTTAAGCCCCCCCCCCTAGAGAAAAATAAAATCACGCTCCGACCCGGAAGAAGATTTAGGCGATGATGCGGGCTCGGTCATCATGCTTATGCTTATGTTTACTACGTACAGTGACGCTAAGCTAATAATTATGTAGGGTTATGGTTATGGTTATGGTTATGGTTAGGTGTACGTAAGTAAAGTAAGAGAAAAAAACTAACAAGGGTATGGAGGGGGGAGGGGGGGGGAAGAAATAAAGAAGAAAAAAAGAATGGGATTCTAGAACAAATGCGGACGCCCCCACTATAGTCCGTGTGTTCGTGTTCGTGTCCGTGGGTTTGGGTTTGGGTATGGGTATGGGTATGGGTATGGGTATGGGTGGCTGGCTGATCGGTTGATCATTTGGTGGTCTGAGCGTTTCTTTTTTTTCTTCTCTCTTTCTGTGTGTGTGTGTGTCATGGAGGGAATAATTGAGGGCAAAGAGATGATGCAAGAGGAAAATATTTGCGGTTATTTGCTTAGTTACGAGGAGAGGGGGGGGTATATCTCGCGCACCCACATATGTGGGTGTATGTGTGTAAGTACGTGTGTATGCAAAAGGTAAAAACGGTGCGATGCCATGTGATGCCGGTGTAAGTACTGTATCTCAACAACATTTTGGTACGAGTTCCACAAAGCCACCAACGGTTTAAAAAAAGCAAATATGTATATATATATATACCGGTGTAAGGGAAAAGAAGAAAAAAAAGAGGGGAAGGAAGAAGGAAGACCTGCCGTGCGCTGTAAGTCTAAGTGTTGAACTGGGAGTAGCCTGGCATAGCATAGTATGGTAGTAACAATGGCGATGGCTTAGACAGTATAGCCGACATGTGAATATCCATATCGGCCGGTAAGTTGAGTGTGTTTGAGGAGAGGCAAGGGCGATATATGTGCAAGGTGAGGGCATGTTACCAAGGGCCGAATCAACATGGATATGTGTAGTTGCTGTTACTTTTCCCACTGCCATTATCACTATTACTATTACTATTTCCACGAGTCTTACTGGGTACGATGATGATTCTCGTTTGTTCGGCGAGTATGGCATGTGCGATCACAGCCATACAATCGCATGCACATTGCTATACATGGCAGAAAGACGAGGTACATAGAAGCCTCGCTGGTAACCATGAAGGAAGACGAGGTCGCTACTGTAGCACCACCATATCCACATCCCACACTCCACATACACGCACTCCACACCAAACTCCAGCTTAGCATCTCAAATCTCACATCCTACAAGTCGCATCCACCTACCCCCTCAACCCTCTCGGATACACCTGACTAAACCGTCCTCACCGATCTATGCAACGAAACAACGGAGTGATGATGCACCGAGCCCCAACAACATCTACTTAGTCTATTGTAAGTGACCATTTCAAACGCCTAGGCTTACTTAGGTCTAAGTCCTTACTTACTTATTTTACTTACACAGCTCAGCCCGGCCCGGCCCAGCTCCCTCCCTCCCTCCCTCCCTCCCTCTCACTCACTCACTCACTCTCACAAGCGCACCGACGCAAAAAAAAAAGTTCCCCGAACAAACGTAAGCCTACTCATACAAAGTACTTCCAAACGCCGAGTTCCCCACTGTCTTCCGCACTCCGCACTCCGCGCTCCGTAAGTACTCCGTGTTCATGCTCGTGCTCGTGCTCGTCCTCCGTGCTCGCATGGACCTGCCGTAAGCGTACATACCGCATAGGAGCACAAACATATTAAGTTATTATTTTTTTTTCTCACTTAAACTGCAACAACATACACGCGAGGATCACGTCATGTGATGCTATAGCCTCGGGTAAACATGGGATATGGTAGCAAGCGACATCTAGGTATATGTTAAGTAGCGCGGGGAGATAAGGGGGGGGGAAAGAGTTTCCTATTTGGGAAATATTGGACAGGGAGGTAAGGGTTTTGCGGCTCTGCGGGGGGGCTGGCGGGGTTGATTCGGGGTTTACTAGGAGGTGCGAAGGGGAGGGGTGTGGGTGTGCTGGAGGGGTTTTTTTTTTGCTTTGGTGCCTGGATTGGTGCTAGTGTTCGTGTTTGGGGTCAGAGGAAGGTGTGTGTGTGATGAGGGGGGGTGATTGGTGGTTGATGCCGATGGTGATACGATGCAAGGCGAGCAAGAGTGTTGAGTGTTGATCGAGAGCCTAGTAATCATGTGTTTGGTGTCAAAATTTTGGGGATTACTCAGATATTATAATCGGTGGGGAAACGACCGTATAATGGGGGTGGTGAGAGGCAAGATTCCAGCTCGTCTTCTTCCTCTCCTTTGCCTCCTCAGGGTACTTACACTTAGGGATTGGTCTCGTTTTTTAGTAGCAGTAGCACCAGGCATGCGCTATTCCTTCCCGTCCCAGTCTGTCCCCACTACTTACTAGTAGTACTAGTATAGGCGTAGTAGAGCCTCACACAAGGCACTTCATTCTATCAAACGCATCTGCAAACTCGGTATAGTCCCACACATCATCGTAGCCATCGTCTTCGGGCGCAAACCGCGACCCTTCGTATTCCCTCTTGGCAATGAGACGCCCAACCTGCGGACTCATTTCCAGCCGCAAGCACGCACGCAGCGTCTCGTCGTCTTGCCAACAACAGCCCATGCTCATCCAGACAGCCACGATGCCCACGCGCTGCTCTCTCGTCTTGTTTTTGCCCACGGCGAAGAAGCCCGGGCGCCACAGGACCTCATTGTGCGTCGGAGGCTTAAGCGAGAAAGTCAGCGACTCGAGATTCGGGAACCGGTCCAGCATGGCCTTGCCCGATTTGAGAATCTCGGGCCAGAACCGGTTCTTCCAGCAGTACTTGACGTGCTCGAGGCTCTTGTCGAAGATGCCGCGCGGACTGGCGTCCATGACAATGTGTCGCACGAGTAGATGCCGGTGGGCAAGCCCGAGTTCGAGCAAGTGCAGGTTCCACGACGAAAAGACGTTGCCTCCATATAGCACGGGGCTGCACTCGGCGTTGAGCTGCCGACAGCTGCGCATCAGCGCCACCGGAAGCTGCTTGGTGCGCAAGGGCTGCGGTTCGCTGGGGCCGCAGCCTCCATGACGGATGTTCATGGCTCGGGCGACGAGGCGCGCTGCGGTAGGGTCACGTGTGTAGATGAGAATGGCACCGCTGATGCGAAATGCCCATTCGTAGACTAGGTCTCTGAGCTCGCGGGGGAGATCCAGGAAGCCTACCAGGCTTTCGTCCTGGCTGTACGATTGCACCCATGCTGGCGGTGTCCCCTGCTTTGGCTGTTGCCTGTTAGCCTGCAAGGGAAAAGCCATGTAGATGCGTGCATCATGGTTGGTATGAGCAACGCACCTGTAGCACCATCGTTACCGATACCTTTTCTCGCTCCCTCTCAGTCTCGCTCGTTACCTCTTCTGACACGGAGGCGCTATGTACAAAGCCACGGGCTCGATAGAGATGGAAACGGGTTCGTAAAATGGGCGTGCAGTGCGGATAAGGCCACTCACAGGATTATTGATTACAGCCAGGACTATAGGGCTAACCGCATTAGGAAGGGCTTGGGCGGAGAGATTTATCGCCTTTGATTCGCCTGGGATATAATTAGTGTAGAATGCTCCCGGTCACTATTATTTTGCGCCCTATAGACAGCATGGCAACTTCACCCTGGGCCGCCCCCTCTTTCTAGCGAGCGACTAATATTAGAATGATACAATGGCTGCATTCCACGTAGCTTCATATGGAGTTTGATATGCAAGGAAACGTCATGTCCAGATTACCACGCAAAATACAGTTTGCCATGAACGCAATTCAATAGTTCAATACTCATGCATAACACCTCTTCCGCCAAGACCCGTCTCCAGAAGCGCCTCTGCTATGACCGCTGCCTTGACCCGCGTCTCTTTTTCCCTCTCTAGCCTCGTCACCTTTTCCCTCGCTCTCTGCAACTCGCCATCGACATCGCTCTGAAGCCGCGTAATCCGGCCGCGTTCTCGATGCCCCCGTTTTGCCATTTTCAACTCGAGCTCCCTTTCCATACGCTCCCGCTCATGCTGCACGTCATGCAGGCGTTCAGCTTGGAGTAAAGACATCTGGCTCGTCAGGTCTTGGATACCGTGCCGTGAGTCCGAGGAAGATGAGCCGCCAAGGAGGAAGGGCGAGCGTGAGGACAGGCCAAAGGTGGGGAGGTGATCAGCTGCAAAACTGGGAGAGTAGTACGCCCACGACGGAGACCAATCATACCATCCCACAGCTTTGAGCTCTGCACGAGCTTTATTGACGTCGTTTTCTAGTGCTCCACTAGCCTCGATGGCATCGAAGAAGCGGGCCCGGTAGAAGCAGTGTTCACTTTCAAGCTTCAGTAGGTTGGGTGGCTCCACGGTGCTGCTGACACTCGATGGGTTGGACTGGTGGTAGTCTGGTTGACTCGATGTAGCTGGGGCGCGCGTGAGGAACTTTCGTGCCCATGCTTTGAGCTCAGAGTCCGGCTCATAGCCTCGATAGATTTCCTTGAGAACAGCTACGGGGTCTTCGTAGAGGATCCCGTAGGCATTCATGCGGTTCAGGGCGTACGTCTTACACTCCTCGAAGTCCATCAGGATACTGAACTTGGCAAACTGCACATCTGCCAGTACAATTGCCGCAGTAGTCGTAGTCTGGGGCTTGATGATGGGCGGACCCCTGCGTTCAATGTCTAGACCGGCGGCAGCAGCAAAAGGCAGTGGATCGGAGCGGTAAGACCCAGTATGTATGAATTCCAGAAAGCGCATAAACGTGTCCTCTGAGATCTCCTTGGGGACCTTGAGAAAGCGACTGCCAGCCCTGTCAAAAGCCCTCATGACAGAGAGACAATTCTCAATCCTGTTCCCCTCTACCAAAACTGGCCTCTCTCTGAACATGAACTCGACCGACTTTGCAGACGACACCAGGCGAGCGCGGCGTCTGACCTCAAGCTCGTGTCGTCGGTCGTTGTATATATGCACTTCGGGTCCTCGCACACAATGCGGCTGGTCGAACATGGGCTGGCAAACCTTCCTGTACCACTTATCCACATCGCTGTCCGATGGCCCTCGCACGTAGCAGTGACAGTGGCTGCAATACCACTTCTCCTTGTCTTCGAGTTCTATTTCTTCTCTTCTCCACGAGCTGTAGTACTCGTCGGCAAGGTATCGAGTACCGGGTGAGGAATGCCCATAGTCCAAGGGTGTAAGCTCTCGACGGTGGACAGCTGACAGTCGCTTGATGGTCAGCATGATCTTGCCAAAATGCACGCCATGATCCAATCGCCCGTAGTCTACTTCGCGTTCCGCTTGCTCACCACAAGCGACGAGGAAATAGGCGTGAATCATGTGGTGGATGAGGATGGCGAGTATGTCCCTCGCTTGGCCGTGCTCGATTGCATCGTGATTGAGGACAATGGAAATGCGCTTGACTTCAGGGTTGGGCCCCATCCGGTACGTATAAGTGGCGCCTGACACATCAGAGTTGAAGTTGTCAACTTGGAGAAAGACGGTGCTTTTGAGGTGTCGAGCGAACAAGACCTCGTCGAGCTTGTTGAAGAGACGAAAGGGGATCTCGTCGCTTAAGCCTTTTTCTTGAAGCAAGGCAGCTCGGATGCGAATGTCCCGGAGCGATTTACCTGCAGTGGCCCAGTTCTGCTCTAACCAGTCGACAAGAAACGCTACTGCCCAGTCAATGTTCCATCTCAGGTCTCTGTCTCTATCACACCTCCGATAGGGGTCCTGGAGCCGTACTGCAGTCTTCGGTAAAGGACGAGGAAAGTCTAGTGTCTCAAAAGGGATACAAAAGTCTGAGTCCGAATCAGAGGGGTGGGATTGAGAGTATGAGCATGCTTCTTCGCTGATGAAGCCATTACCGGAGGAAAAGAGGGCCAGACCGTCAGCGGAGCCGGGCATCATCAAGGAAACAGACAATAGTTGTGCTTAGTCCGGTAGGTTAAGGCGCGAGAGTAGCAGCAGATGCGAGGATCGTGCCCATGCTTATATGGTGCGATGGCGTGAGAAACAGATATTGTAGTACTGCCCTGCATTGCTGCTGATAAGATGACTTCTTGCGCGGGGCTTTCTAGCTTTTCAGCGGCCATTGGCTGTCAGAGCGAGGTGATACATGCGCTATTGCATGTTGTTTGCCGTGGACGATGTGAGCAATTGTGTCTTGTGAACGGTCCGATACAGCCTGTTCATTGGTGCCTTTGCCACGGAAATCAAACAATCAGTTGTCCATAGTCGTATGACATTGCTATCGTTCCGCCAAAGTTGGGGGCGCTCGAACATGCCACGAGATTGTGGTAGTAGCGCCCAACAGCGTCGTACTGAGCTGAACAACATGTCCTTGGCTACACAAGGCTGATTGCTGGATCCCACGGGCACGTTGACAGTAGTGAGACAACCATGGGAGCGGTTCCGCAGTTGACCTGATAATTCCCACGTTAGTACAGCACAGATGTTGCGTGACAAGAGTAGCAGCAGATAATGCAGGACTGAGCAAGCAAAAGTTAAGCATGGTATAATAATATATGTAGCGAAGCCAGTCGCGGCTCCAATCATAGAACAGAAAACAGATGGGATATAGATAGCACGTAAGAGGAGCGAGAATGAAAGCGCACTGGATGCTGAAGCGCCTGACCAATAGCCGAATCTCCTTCCCCCCGATGTCGTAACACATAAGCAAAGGGCTGTCATTGATGGTGGACGCTTGCCACATTGGATCCGGGCAGAACAGCGAACAGGACTCTCCGGACATGGATGCGCCGTCACCGCTTGGCCCGGGTAATTAGTAACGTGGGCGGTCGTCAGGACGACCGTATTCGTCGACAGTCCTTCCGCTGATTGAGCCAGGGCGAGAGCCAGGGCGAGAGCCAGGACGAGAGCCGGGGCGGGAAGCGGGCCTTCCGCCGCCCTCGCCGTAGTGCTTTCGCCTGAGAGCGGCCAATCGCTTCTTCTTGGTGTGAGTGTTGATATATGTGCCGATTATGAAACCGACAATGTTAAAGAAGGGCACCCAGGTCGTCTCGGGGAGGAACTGCTGGGCAAAAGCCAGCGAGATGGGCGAGACGACCCAGCTGACCTTCATGACGGGCCAGAAACCGGCTTTGACAGTAGCGCGGACTTGGTGGAAGGTGCGTGCGCCGGCAATGAGGGCCATGGAGATGAGGTAGACACTGTTCTGAATGGGCGCAACCTAGGAATAAGCGTTAGCGACGAGCCAAAAAAAGTAAAACAAAATAAGAATTGGACGGCTATGACGCCACTTACGAGCAGGTTGCTGGCGAGGATCTGGAGCACCTTGGCCTTGAGGCTCTTGCGGCCCTGGAACAGCTTCTGGAGCGCGGTGATCAGGACGTGGCCCAAGGGCGCGCTGATAAAGGCGCCATAGATGGCCATCTTGGGGACGCGCGAGGTGAAGTAGTGGCCCGACTTGCTCCGGTCGTGGGCAATCCACGAGGCCAGAAACTCTTGCAGGCCGGAGAGGGTACCCGAGGTCAGCATCTTGGTGCGCAGCGGATTGCTCTGCAGCTGCCTGAGGTAGGCCTGGAGGCGCGGGCGGTCAGTGGCAGCGTCGACGACGCGGGTGCAGCAGGGCGGGACTCACTGCGAGGTATCCATTGGGGCCGCCGCCTTGGGTGATGGCCTGCCCAATCTCGTGCATCAGGTCGTCCTTGTGGTGCGAGGCCGCGTCGGCGGCCGAGTGAAAGGTTTCCTTGTCAAACTTGACCGACATGGCGGGTCAATCGAGGGCGGCGGCGGCGACGACGACAGCGGGATGCAGAGGGGCGCGTGAAGCTGGTGGGAAGCGGGCGTCGGGGCGAGAGGTTGTGGGCGAGGGCTGGAGCTGTCGAGCGGACTTGTGGATGGCTGGGGGTGAAGGTAAACAGCCTCGGACAAGTCCGTGCTAGCGCCGCCGTCAGACTCCGCTTGCCTGGGGCGCGACAGGCCGTTGGGGGAACACTCGTGCTCTTGGTGCGGGTGTCGTGATCTGACCCGCCCGTGCCTGCACGACCTCGGCTCTCGCGCGCGCCTCCAGCCTGGCCATGCCATTCCCCACGATGCCATCCGTCTTACGTGCGAGGCGCCTCGAGCGCGGCACTGCATAGCGGCATTGTGCGTGGCCATCTGTTGCCGCCCATGTCGGGCCTGGCCGCCAACACGACGCCATAGGCACACCGGCAATCACCGCCTGCAGCGACATTCGTTTACTCGGCTCGCCGTGGCCACCTGTGCATGCATCGCCTACGCTGTCTCGGCTGTGCATGCGTGTATTATCGTGGTGTGTCTACGATCATGGTGTGTGCATTATCATGGCGACGCCCTCTGCCTCGACCCGTCACGTGACCACCTGCGCTGCTGACTACACACCTCCCTCCCTCCCTCCCCCATCATGCCACGCCCGCCTGACACTCCATCATCTCCATCGCCCACCCGCCCTCTCCCCCTATCGCCCGTCTTGTATTGACTGCATCCCCCCAATCTGGAACAGGACGCTGGGCGCGCCGCTGCCCCTCGCGCGGTTTGCATGCAACCACTACAACAAACAGTTGGGAGACGCGCAGGGATCATCAACCGTCTGCAGCACGGCGAGAAGCATCAAACGATGCATCAAAACACAACCCCTAACGTCGTATCTAGGTCAGATAAACAGCACGTGGGCACAGGATGGCCCGCAGATGCCAGACACACCTCGCCTGAAGCCATTGTTTTCTTCAGCTACCTAATCTGACTCTTTCTTCACGTCTCTCTTTGTCTTGTCTGGTCTTGTCTCATCTTTAACCCTCACCATGACCCCACGCTTTTGATCCGTCGCCGCTTCCCAAAGTGCTTTACCCTTTCCTTCGTTCCTTCCCCGCCTGGGTCTTTGTCCTGCCTTCACTTACCCTTCCCCGGGTTTGCTCCAATCACAGCAGCTCCGTTTGCCATTACAACCAGCCCAACTTTTACCTTCCCCCACCTACGACCCCTCGATTCCCCGCTCGCACGCGCAGAGACTGCCAAATTCACCGCCTGCAGCCATGGGGAAGCAGAACCGAGCAGTCAACTGCACCCATGTGCACATGGACCGTGTCTTTAGACGAGACCAGAAGTGCTGCGTTTGCGGGTCTTCCTCGTCCATGGGCTTTCTCTACCAATGCAGGCAGGACGTCGAGACCGAGTCTCTCGGCGACCTGATATCGCGAAACACCAAAAACGTCAGGCCAGCCAAGTCACCCCTACGGAAAGAGCTGGAAAAGGCCGGGCTGAGCGAGAGCATTATTCTTACCGCCGAGAGCGGACACTACTCAAAACAGCAACTCCAGAAGCTCAAGGACTTGAAGCGGGACCTGCAGCTCGTCATCACAGATGTGGAACAGGCTGACCAGGCCAACGATGCTATATCCAGACTGATGGACATGTCACAAAGGCCTCGTAGCACCGACGGAGCCCGGGGGCGTACGCCTGTGGCAGATGGAGTGAGAAGACGATCCTGAATTGCTGCTTTCAGGACAATACGACTAACCAATGCTTAGAACTTTTCAGGATGTACCTTCAAAGCATGTCATGCTTGTCGCCCCTACTATCTGGACCGTCTGTACATCTCTTTTGGAGCCGTTCTCGCAGCTGAGTTTCCCCCCATGACACGAAACGACATGGCCAAACTCCCTGTGAAATCAGCCGCCATCATGCGTAATATTGGTACCAGGCCACCATCACTCCCTTCTGTGACTTGCAGCACCAGATCCTCTACCAAGCGGTCTTCACCCCGCGTACCGCACTCGGCTTCCTCGCAGACGACAGATTGCAGCGTGCTTACCTACCAGACGACACAAAGCGACCTAGAGGAGATCTGGGCTCAACGCCGTCCGCGCATAAAATTCTACAAGATGGGCCGCCAGCCTAGCACAAATCCGTCGTCAAGCATATCGGCATCCTCATCGCTGCTCATACCCCACGCCCTCCGAACCGCAGTCCAAGGCATGTTCCGTCACAGTTCCAGTCCCAACCGCGAGTCGAGTTCGTCGGGCTCGAATATCTCGTTTCAGTCGGACCGCTCTAGCCCCGGCCATTCCCGGGATAACATGCACCTCAACGCTTCGGCCGCATGCGACATGAAGACTGTCGGCCGCATGCTGGAAAACGAGCGTCACAAGCACAAAAAGGGGCCATCGGTGGATAGCTTTGCGCAGGTGGCCATGGCCGCGACTGCACAGCACCAGGGCGCCAGCGCCCCGCCTAGAGACAGCGGAGTTAGCACCAGCTCGCGACTCCCGCTGTACTCGCTGACGATCAACGAGAGCAAGGAATTCGGCCTGAAGAGCGCCGACATGCCGGAAAACAAGACGACCACGACCACGACCACGACGACAACAACAACCAAGGCACCAGATGCAGAGACTAGATTGCACAAGACGGGGGCTGTAGTTGTCAAGACGAGGCCGTTGAATGGCGATGCAGATGCTGGGTTGCAGAGTATCATGACGCAAGTCTGAGAGATGCGTAACTGGTTTTGCTGGAGAGGGGGGGGGGTGGGCAATGAAAAGAAAGAGAAACAAAGTTTATCCATTTCCCCCTCCTCTCTCTCTCACTTTCTTTCTCTCCACTCACTTTTCTTCTTCTTCTTCTTCTTCTTCTTCTTCTTCTCTTTTTTTTTGTGTGCGTGTGTGTGTGTGTGCATTAGACATACAAACGACTCTGTGGGGATAATTTCAACAGAGTAAAAAAAAAATTTACAAGAGAGAAAAAGAGAGTACTTTCTTTGCCTCCCTTTTTTTCTAGCTTTTTTCTTCTTCTTTCATTTGGCCTCTTCTTCTTCTTCTTTTTTTCATTACATTCACATTGTCTCTCTCTCTCTCTCTCTATTTTCAAAGGGGGAGGGTTTGAATTCTGAGTTTCTCTTCCTTTGTTTCTCTATAATACATGAATTTTTCGTCCTTTCGTCCTTTCGTCCTTTCTTCCTTTCTTCCTTTCTTCCTCTTACATGATCATCATAGGGGTGGGGGGTGTGGGTTCATTATACAGACAAGACAAGACAAGACAAGACAAGGCAGACGAAGAAGACCCTTTTTGAGTAAGGCCTAGATCTTGGTCACCAGTTTTCTTTCCTCTTTCTCGCTTTTCTCCTTTTTCTCTCTCTCTCTCTCTCATTTTCTCCTTTTCTCATTCTCTCCTCGTGTCATTTCCTTTCCTTTCCCCTTTGACACGACCCATCTAATGCGATAAGAAAAAAAAGAAAAGAAAAGAAAAGAGAAAAAAAAGGGATATGGGAGGAGATGAAATATGCAAGGGAAATAACCATCATTCTATCGACGTCCAAGCTTCCATCTTGAAATGCGGGTCTGGATATCATTCCAAGAGAGATCCTTGCGCTTGAGCCCCTCCATTTCGCCTTCCTGGAGGACCACGGTTGGAGCGCCGGAACCGACACCCGCATTGTACACGTTGCCGCCAAAGACGTGTTTGGCGACGCGGCGGAGATCGTGCACGGTGACGGCCTCGATCTTCTTGCACATTTCCTTGACACCGACCTTGCGGCCGTGGACCTGGACTTGGCGGCCGAGGTCCTCGAGCTCCACCATGCGGGACTCGAGATTCATGAGGAGCGAGGAGCGGAGCTGGTTCTTGGCGCGCTGGACTTCGCCGTCCTTGAGGGCTGCGTAGCCTGATTCATCGCTGAGGGATTTGAGCTCGCGGCACATGACTTCGAGCATGTGGGCTGTGTACGAGGGGGCGCACGAGGCGGCGATGCCAAAGAGACCGCTGTCAGTGTAGCTGTGGTTGAAGGCGACGCAGGATTCGACCCAGCCGTGCTGGTTGAGCACGTTGGTGTAGAGGCGCGAGTACATGCCTTTTCCGGGCCCACCGGCGCTAAAGGAGCCGCCGCCGCCGAGAAGTGTTTGCAGGGTTGCGAGGGCGTAGATGTCGGGAGAGGAGATGGGCAGGGCTTCGAAGGCGAGGTGGATGTGCGATAGGCGGGGCAGCATGGGGTTCGCTGGAGGCGGAATGGGAGGGAGAGTAAGGAAACCGCCAGTGTACTGCGAAGGGGTCGATGTGTTTATTGGCGGGAAGTCAAGGTCGGGGGCTGTGGTTAGGCTGGCATTGGATGTGGCCGATGTGGAGAGGTTCTTGAGGAAGGGAATCTTGGAGATGATGTTGGAGCCTCCGAGCAGAGCGCCTTTGGGCATGGGGTGGTTTGCGGTGAAGTTTTGCTGCGCGGGTGCGTGGGTGCCTGAGCCAATGTCGACGAGCGAAGGTCCGACGCCCCTCTTCATGTCGCCAAAGTACTGCTCGGTCAAGCGGACGGCCTCGTTGTGGTTGACGCCGGCAAAGGCGACGACGATGCGCTCGGGCTTGTAGAACTCTTTGCGGTATGCCTCGACGACGGCGCGGTTGATCAAGGGCAGGCGCTCCTTGGGGCAGAGCAGCGGGTTGCCCAGCGTGTTGTCCTTGTACGCGGCCATGTGCACCAGCTCGGGCAGGATCAGCTCGGGCTTGCTCCAGATCTCGCCAATCTCGTAGTCGGCCGTCTCGAGCTGCTGCTGGACCTCGTCGTCGGTGATGAGCGGGTCGCGGATCGTCTCAGCGAGGACGGCGACGGTGGTGGGCACGGCCAAGTTGAACGTGGCCGACTGGTACATGAGCGACTCTCTGCTCGAGGCGCACTGGATGTTGCCGCCCAGCGTCTCAATCCTCTCCATCATCTGGTCGCCGGTGGTGGCGCGCGTCGACTTGAAGGCCAGGCGGTCGATGATGTGGCTGACTCCGCGCAGGGCATCGTTTTCGTAGCGGGAGCCGGCGTCGACGTAGACGCCAATGCCCGAGAAGTGGCCGGGCAGGGCCTCTGTGGCGACGCGGATGCCATTGGGCAGGGTGGTGATGCGGTCGAGGTCGGCGGGGTCCTATACTGGCGGTTTAGAATTGTCTTCTCTGCGTGCAGCTGGGCGGGAGCCGGGTGCTGACCCTCTGTTCGGCGGCCGTGGCCAGTGTCCTGGGGCGGGCGGCGGGCGCATACGAGGCCCTGGAGAGCGGGCGCGTGGATCGCGGCCGGCAGCAGCGCAGCGTCAACATGTCTGCCCGTGGGTTGGAGGCGGCGTGAGGTTGCGCGCGTTCCGAAAAAAAGCCCCAGCGGCGGATCGGCATGACATGATGTCACGTGCCGGGGCCGCCCACGAGCGCCAGTCTTGGGTTAGTGCTAACAGACATGTATTGGTACGGAGGTGCCTCACAAAAGTTTTGTCCCACGCTAATCTCGGCGCTTCGGCATAACTCTTCTTGGCGCAACTCCCACCTTTGAGCTGAGTAGCTGTACGATTTGTCTGTATCTATCGTTACAATGTCTCCTAATACTGATCCTTACACCC